CCAACGTTGAGCCCATGAGTATTTCACCTGCTAACCATTCACCTACGTATCCCAGAGAGATATGCCAGCCGAATTGTCAACGCGTTCTCTGGCTCACAAAGTAGTAGCGGTCTGTCGCCGGGATTGTCAATTTTCGATATTCTTTCCCTCCACATAGCATTCTGTGGTCGTATTCAGACTCAAGAAAACGCTTATGGAAAAACGTATTCTTCCAAGTCACGGGCGCTGAGGGGTTTCTTGACCCTTCGCATATATATTTTTGCAATTCTCCTGGCACAAAGGGGAATTTCTGTGCGACATGCGTCATATCGACTTTTACGGTACTGTTCAATTTGCAACCTATTCTGTGAAAATGTCGCTAGCGTCTGCTACACGGTCAGCGCGTTGCAATCAGCCAACCACATACTCGGAGATAGACACATGCGAAGACAATGCTTTATTCTTAAGTGACAGAGCCATGCTCTACGTTGGCAGCGGCTCTCCTATGCTCTCTGACTGTACTGAAACCTTATGCCCAGTTCAGATCCAAAACGACCAGGGTGAGGGTGGAACCGATGATCAAGTCCCGATGTGTCCAACGCCGAGCATAACGAGCGGGTTTCAAGATTATTCTTGCCAATACCCAGGTTGCGCTGTGGACCAACTTTTATATGCCTCCCAATGCCGGACCGTTATTTGTTTGTTGCCATGTGCCCCAAATGCAGAGCATTTGAAATTGATCCTGCAAGGAGGGTCTCTCAGTTGCTCTGCGCATGCGAGTGGCAATGCTGAATTCTGCTTACAACAAAACATCGACACCTGCCTACATTTCTCTAAAAAATCAGAGCACGCCGATCAAGACTTCTATGCCGCAAAGTCTGACAACAGGCATGATTATCTCCCGGACGGCACACTGGATCCTTGCGCATTGAACATCAGTGCCGGAACTAGTAACATGCCGCAACAGTATTTCAAATGTGATTATCCAGGTTGCAAACAGTATTTCAAGCGTCAAAGAACTCTCGACCGTCATCTGAGAAATCATTTGGGAGAGCGGCTCCACGTTTGCTGGGTCCCTGGATGTCAGCGCAGCTTCTCGCGTAGCGACAACCTCAAGGCGCATTACATCACGCACGGAACATTTCGTGGACGCAATCGCTATGTGGCCACCTTGGACAAGACAAATCCAGTCTATGATCCTAAGTTCCGTGGACAGCTCACATCTCAAGGGTGGCCAATCGGTGATGCGACCTACGATTAGCGATGGACTTCCAGTTAGACTGTGACTGGTACATGGATTTCATTTTCTCATGGGCCAAAAGAAAAGATATCAAAGGGCTAAGTTAAATTTTTGCAGAACCTGGAAAAGAGCCGCATTCGCAACGATTTAGCCCGAGCTAGTTCGGCAGGTCGTTATATGTAACCAAGGATCTCCCTAAGAAGCAATGGCTACGTTTGATTCACCTCACTCATGTGCCCCGCGCCGTACTAACAGGGTCGCCGTTGCCGATATACTGCTTAAATTAGAACAATGCTTTCATTGGATTCAATGTGCGTATCCTTCCGCCCTAAGATCTTAATCATGTCCGTTGCAATAATTCAAATTCGTTCGCACAACACCACAATGATTAAGACAGGCTTAGCTGCCAATAGCCAAGGAAACATGAAACACCAAAACATGCGACGTGTACAGCTGAATTCGAAATTGGCTTCCATCTTTTTCAAAGAGAAACTCTCTCAGGCCTTGCCGCTAGTCCAATTGTAGGTCCAGCTATACTGCTTTTAGATATAATGTGGGGCTTAACCGCAATTTCTACAGCTGCAATTGGATTAACTTGCGTTGACCCCTTCTTCTAGACCAAACTGTCTGTGCAAATGATGGAAGGCGATTTCGAATATTGCTGTAATCTTTTTCCATCATCATCCTCAGTATCTCTTCTGCCCAGAACGACTGACGACTTACCAATATAGCCAAGCTGAAATGCTTGCTCAAATGCTTTGACGTGAAATATTTCTGTGACTACAACCCTATCAGACTTTGACTGCAGAATCTCAGGGACCTTTTTGAAAGCTGCTTCCAACTCCTCCATTGGATACGACTCATGAAAGAGTTGAGCAAGGAGAATCGCCATATCGTTTACCCTGATCACAAGAATCGGCTCAGTCCAGAATGCTGTGGTCAGGATCTTCGGTAATAGTCTCGGGTCCAGAGACAGAAATGCTCGTCGGTAGAACTCCATTCGGTCTGGGCCATGTTCAATGCAAATTGATTGGGGCTTTGTGGACGCGACACGGATTTCTGCTGAGAGCTGAATCATTGTCAACCGTTCTTCAACCTAGTGAGCCAGAAAAGAGGGCGCTGATCTAAACAGCATCAACACTGAGAGTTGCTTCCGACCGCTCAAAAAAAGCTTAGGTCAGCGTTTTCTAGTCAGCCTTTTGATAAATATAATACTATTCTGGCATGCCGGATATTGCCCCGCCTGACAACATGTCCGGCTCTCTGTCAAAGTTTGCCCAATGGCTTGCTAAGACTTCCGTTCAAGACAAGTTTGGTCTTTGTGGCCTCCTCGCCATTATATGCTGGATTTCTTATAGCCTCGGTCGCCGATTCAGCACCTTATCCTTCAGGTTGCAACACGCAGTATCTTGGAGACGCTTTTTCCAAGCACCCACACCAAGCGTGCTCCAGCGGCTGGATATCCCGTCATACTTGCAAGGGGAAGTGCTTGCAGCCTTGGTCATTGCCAACATCATCGCAATCAGCCTTCAAACACAAGACTGGGCGGATGTGCAGAAGCGAGCTGGATGCTTAGCAGTTACTCATCTGATTCCCCTATGCGCCGGCTTTAGCCTCAGCTTTCCAGCCCACGTCTACCGTGTCGAACGACACATCTTCCAATGGGCTCATCGGTGGCTGGGCCGCATTTGCGTACTGCATTGCCTCATTCATGGTTCCGTATTGAGCACAGTTGCTCGGAATACTGCCCTCGGAACTTCCCTCGTCACTCCACTCCTGGTACGTCAAGCAGCCCAGAGAACGGCAGCCCTCGTATACTCCCCGCGGTATTTCTGACTTGAAGTGGCTCACATTACACAGGCCGGATGTAGTCTCGTCTCGATCTTACCTTGGACGCTCGCTGCGATTCTTCGACGGTGGCCACAGCTCGGCCTCAGAGTCCACCATATGCTTGCTTCAGTTGCGACCCGCTCTTTTTTATCATTTGATTGGCCGAACCTCTCCCTACCGGTGGGTTTTACTTGGAGGTATTTGCGCCGGATTTGTCTGGGGTGCCGGGACATGTCTGCATACCATGTGGCACCACAGGTCATGGCGCATTACCTCCCGACAAACTCTCGTGCGGTCTTCGAACCGGCTCTTATGGCTTGATATTGCGGTGCCGGTGGAGTGGGCGGCTCGGCCGGGGCAGTATGTACAACTCTGGGCGCCACACTGGGGAGTCAGGGCATGCTTGCAGCTTCCCGCATTTTATGTGGCTTCGGTGGATACAGTGCAAACCACACCAGAAGCACTGGCAACCCGCATGGTACGGATAGTCACCCGACCTCGGCAGGGTATGACTAGAAGAATCGCACAAGCCACCAATCGCGCACACGTGACGATTCAGTTTCCAGTGTGTGTGCTGGGTCCCTATGGACATTCACCTCACTTGGGCCAGTACGGGACCGTTGTGTTCGTCCTGGAAGGGATTGGACTCTTCCGTGCGCTGCCGTTCCTGCGGCATCTTGTTCAAGAAAGTCGAAGCCGGAGGAACATAGTGCGAAGACTAGAAGTTCTGTGGCAAGTTGAGCTGAAGGATTTCAGTACGTGTTTCCCTGTTGCAGATGCTCTGCATTGTTGTGCTGACCAAAATAGACCATCCCCACTGGGTCGGGGATGAGATCTCGCAGATCCTTGAACTCGACCGGATGTTTGACCGAGACGATTGTCCGGAGCATGGCCATCGAGATGACCGGGGTTTCGATGTGAGTGAAGCCCTTCGTGTTGATCATACTAGGGGTGGGCTGGCTCAAAAGCAGATCCTGCAATTTACCACACACATCCTAGGTGCTCGACCCGTGGATCAACTTCGTTATCGCAACCGCACGCGTTTGAAGTACCGTTTTGAAGCTATCGACATTGCCAAGGATTTGGCGCACCTGCTGGACAGTACAAGCGGAGCGACCGCGGTTTCGGGTAAGTTTCCTTCAGCAGGTACCCTGTGAGATTACGCCAACGCTAATTGATCGCAGTATGTGCAAGCGATCCTGTACGTGCAGCTGTACATCATATCGTCCATACCAGAGCGAGTGGTCATCTCCGGCTGATTAACCTGGACCTTGAATCTTCCTACCCGTGGTGGACAGACGATGATCTGTTCGACCCTGCAACATCCGCAACAACTTCAGCCGAGACTAGCACAAACTCTGTGCCCGCTTGGATACCGGCTCCCTTGTCAGTTGCGCACGCTGTCCCTGAACAGGCTGGACGTCTTTCAGGAGAGACATTGGTCGATGACAGACGATCCTGGCAAGGTGATCCGCTGGCTGTGGCGGGCCAGAGTTCCAATCACCGAAGGTGGGTCCGGCAGAAAATCATCGAAGGCGGCTTCTAGTTAGCCAGACGTATCAGCTCCGAGCGGCTTGCTCTTGTGCGGCAGCCTCATCTCGAACGCCCCTTTGACCACCATAGGCTACTCCTTGTGTGTGAGTGTAACCTGCATACAGTATGGCTTTTTCATTGTGAGACAGGGCAAATAGAATTATCATCATCGTTTGTATACTGCACCAGAAATTGTATGTACAATTTTAGAGGCTGTCATTCAACTCCTGCCGCGCCAATACGGTTCAGACCAAAGTTAAATGAGTTCTTATCTTCGCCACTAGAGCATGACGTTTTGAGTTGCTCTGCATGATGTCACACAGTCAGTCGTTTTTAATTTTATTATACAAAAAGATGAATGGAATTCTCAAATTTCGAGTACCAGTTGAAGTAAAATCTGCATACAGTACCCGATTTGATGGATGCTCAGGAAAGACTTATCCAGCGACTTCACGTCCCGAATTTGACGCAAGACAAAGTCGTCGAAATCATCAGCCGATATTTGACGCCGATCGAGGCAATTCCGATAATTGAACAGTTTTTATCCGACGACTGGGTCACTAATGCACAAGTGCTATGGAGCGGCGTACCTCGCACGGTTGCCCAAGAATGGGCCGAAGATCACCAGATGCAAACCCTGACTACCTCAATGGGCCCTTTAATGAAACCAGAATGCGCCCAATGCCGCAGGACGGAGCTTACTTCTAAAAATTGGAGTCATTATGTTCATGGGGCTTCAGCAATCTTCGCGTGGCGCATATCTGAGGGCCAAACAGTCACGCTTTTGTGTCCTCCACCACCAGAAAGATTTCACCCATCGGGCCTATCAAATTTCCAAGCGATAGAAGAGCCTATCATCAAGATAGGGTCTGAACAGAATGCACAATGTCGAATAATGATGGTGCATCCGACGGTAGAAGGAGCTGCGGACTTCTCGTACGAAGTTTGGCCGAACGATAACAGCTTCATGTGGGTTGACCGATTTGGTATGCAGCCTGGCGCAGTAAAATGGAGGAAAACAAAGCGAAACGATGGCATGCCACATTCCCAGAATTACGAGACGACATCAAACCAGCCTAGTGGGCTGGCAGCCGAATCAAGGCTATTGAAGGATAAACAGGTGAGTAAGCATATTTGTTTGCTTTCTTTCCGCCAGGTAGATAGATACACATGGCTATGCATTTACCGTACTGATTTTGTATTCAGGTGATCTTCGTTGATCTACTTGCCCCTATTCTAAACATCCTCATCATATTATGCGCCCTGAAAGTTATTCCCATTTTGATTTTGGGAATCTTGATCTGCCGGCTCTTATGTGATCTGCACTTGGATAACCAGATAATACGTGAAAATTCATCTTGCACAGCCAATCTGCAGTCTCATCGAAAGCTGTCGATTTGGAGCTGTGAGTTGAAATTTCTGGGTTTGATTCTCCTGGAGATTGAAGACGCTGAAGACCGAAGGTCATACTGGGATCAGGCCGCTGACCTACCCAAAGTAGTGGATGCGCTCAGGCATGCTTGTGCCAGATCTGATGGAATCCTCCAGAAGGCATTAAGCAAACGAAGTTTGCGTTATTTTTCCGAGTCGCTCAAGAAAGTGAGGCAGGTTTGCAGCGCTAAGGATCATTGTCGCCAGTACGACAAACTGCAAATGATGGCACTCCGAGAAGTCAAAATTGAGCTCAGCAGCCAGCTCCAATCAGTCATCTGGATATTAGCTTCAAAGGTCGATAAGAATCAGGTATGATGTTTCTGTTCAGAAAAATTATCTTTCTTAAGTTTCTGGGTGGTAATTTCCCTAGGTTGAATTGGATGTGATTACCATGTTGTACTGTATACGCAACATGGCAATCGTTGGGAATCTCGGTTACTGAAGATCTGTGTTAATGGCGAGCCGTTACTGCGCCAGCGTCAACGACTCATTTATGAGATGGCTAGCGAAAGATTTCACGGAGGATGAGAGTGCTTCAGGATTACCTAAGAGAAATGATATGAGTCCTGCGAGCCTCGGGTGGACAAAAAGTGTTTTAATCTGCTTTCAGTCAAAGACTGCTACTAGCGCTATGCTAAACGTTCTTGCGGGTTGTCAGTTTGACTCGGCGTCATGCAACACCTTCAGTGTATTTCAATACGGTTAAAGACTCGAAAAATATCACTTGAAAAATCTCCCAGATCCTCCACTTCAGTTTGATGTTCCTTTCAGATTTTCACCTAGATTTAGATTACAGTGCGGTATATGATGATTCTTGTGGTAAACACAAGTGACCCGATCTGATCTGCGCCAAGGCCTTGGCAGTGGGTCCCCAGAAAACAAAGGTAGTAGAATGAGTTTCTCGCAGACAACGATAACATCTGGAAAGCCACTAAATATCTCAAGTCGGGAGAGGGCGCAGCATTCGCGAAGCTGCCGCAGCTCGTCGGGTTTCTGAAAGGTACATGTTAGGTGAAAGCGGCCCAGTGAGAACGTTTTCACCGCACCTATCAAGCATCACTCATTCAAAAATTATTTAAAAATAAGTAGAGCAAAGTCGGGTTCATTTTCACGATCCTGCGTGGCTGCACTCAGTCAAAATGTTTTCAGTGGGTCGTAGCTAACACCCTGTACAACCGCGCTCGTCTCCGTACTATAAAGACTACGTTCCGACATACGCCCCTCGTGGTCTAACACTTGTAACATATAATCCAGTAACCGATCTAAAAAGCGGTCTGAGATGACCACTGGAAAAACTGATCCAATCAGAGCTCACACATGATGGATTTATTTTCCGGATTTCAAGTCGCGCTAGTTTGCCGCCGCGGGGTCGTGGTGGCCACTTGACGCGCAGAATTCAAAAGGTGACGCGATAGCAGGAGGTAGCAGAGCCAAGTTGCTGGGGAAACGTTTCTCCGGTCCGATTTCCAAAGGCGTCAATCGACCAGCAGCTTGTTAACTCATTAATCAATCTTGTCTTTTAAAACCAGCCATGACACACAGTGGGCCTATGATTCATCGAATCAGATTTTCTCAGCAGTGCTCAACATGTCACAGAATCTACAGTTACAAACATTCTTGTTTCGGCAAGTCTCATAGACGAAAAGCGTTACCCCCACGCACGCCCAGCAACTTGCCCGCCCCAATCGCTGGCGAGCTACTGGTTATGGCCCCCAGTCGCAGTTTGGCTGATTTCGCCCGATGCATGCCGTTCAACTCGCCGGACCACCAATTTCATGATGAATTAGAAGCGTTGTAAGAACACTTACCTCTCTTGTGTGAAAAAGCAAACTAAAGTATTTTGACAGTATCGTGAACTACTTTGAACAGCGACATAATTCAGATCCCTCCTTAGAGGATAAAATCGATTCTTTAGTGGCAGCGTCAAAAAAAAAATGCTGGGAAATGAGCGGCCGCGAAACCATTCTCGAGATGGCTCAGCACCTTGCCAGAAATTGCCACTCCCTTCAATTGAAGGCCGAAGTGACTGTTCGACAGAGCGTGATCATGCGCCTGGCGGGGAACATCAAGGGCTCTCAGCAGGTTATTGAAGACTGTTTGTCAGGCCTCCGAGACGAGTCAGTTGACCTTCACGTTGCAGCTTTGTTTATTTCACAGGCATCCAATCATGTCTATCAATTTTGCTTTTCGATAGCTCACGAACAAATCAAAAACTGGATGCCATTCCGAGATATCCCAGGTAAACAGGAGCAGTTGTTATGGGATCAAATATCTTGCATTGGCCGAATCCTGCGAGGGCAAGGCCAATTCATGGAAGCTAAACGTTGTTTTGAGACTTGTCTTGGATCTCCTGGGCTACCAGATGCGAAGGCGTTTCTTATGAAATCTAACCTTGCCGACCTTTATTGTGAATTAGACTATTCAGAAGGCCCGGGCAATTCATATCTACCTCGCGCAGCCGAGATGGTAGGAGCGGCTGTTGAAGAACTAAGGAGATCATCCCGTCAACATCTCAAAGGTTACCGACGACTGCTTCTTTCGTTTGTTGAGGTTCGAATGAGGCAAGGACAATATCGGGAGGCTGGCGATAATGTCACGGAGTTATTAGCTATTTATGGCAACTTGGGCGAGATTGACATCGTGGATCGCTTGGGACATGTCAGGACTCTGATTGCGTTCGCACGTTTGTCGCTGTTCGCACAGGATGCGTTGCGAAGATGGTCAGATGTTCTGGCATGGAACAAATTATACAACCCACTTGAGGAGGAGGTTTTTACTTGTTGCGTCGCATATCATGCGATATCAAATGCCTTGAACGCCCTTGGAAATACACTTGAAAGCTTTGAGAATTTCTGCAAAGCAACAGAAATATCTCGAAGGAGAAGCTGTCAATTCTTGATTCCGGGAGTGGGGACCTATATTTATGATCAGGTGCTTCAAAATACGGTGCAAAGGGAACAGACAGTATCCGCGAATGATCAGTCAGCTTCGTCTCTTGATAGAAAGCCCGGAGTGAAGTTATAAGTTTTTATTCAGCTGTAACAATGATACAGGAGTTGTGTGGTTTTATAATAAAAGGCAAATAATCAAACCAAATATTCATTTCGCGCGGCTGCAGGCAAAATATGCTGACTTGACTAACGATAAACATCAGCAGATGTCGACCGCGAACGGCGCTGTTTAGCTGGCAATATGAGAAGATATTCATGGCCATCTAGCAGCTTACCAAGTGGCCACTGCCATTCATCTTTTACTATGGCCAACGCCTCTAATGGCTCGGTGTGGTCCACAAAGAATTTTGTGTTCACGCCGGAAACAATCCCACTTGAATCATTAGCATCGAATACAGTTCCACAGAGCTCGGCAGCACGAATATAAGGGATCGGTGAAGTTGACATAACTTCACTAGCAATCTTGCCAATGAAGTCAAGATCCACCTTTTCGATGGTTCCTACTCGATATGAGAATTAAATAATCTAACTTCCGCGGGAGACTTACTCCCAAAAACTTTGGCCGCAGCCAGACATGCAGCTGGGTGTGAGCTCATAACGCCGTAAATGTGATCAGAATCTTGGATGAGTGTTCGCAAGAGACCACTCGCAAGTCCCTTTCCGCGGTGATGCTGATCGACCACTAATTGAGTGATCCAACAAACAGTCTGACTATTGCACATCCAGCGACAGGCAAATGCGTTTCCAACAAGATCTCCATTGATGGTCACTCGGATATAAACACTCTCGCTCTGGTCGGTGCGTGGGAGAAGGTATTGTTCTCGCAATCTTCGCACGCTCAGCTTCACGGGATTACCTGGCAGGGAAAATCAGATATGTTTACGGGGATGGAATTTGTCTTTTCTCACCCGGATTGTGGGACTGGGGTCCCCAAATCCCATAGTTTCCGTTGAAAAGATGCGCAGCTTCGGCCAGCATGTCGTCGGTGACCTTCTCTGCGGTGAGACACTGGTAAAATTGTGATGTCATGGTGAAATGATTTCTTTTGACGCTTATACTTTCGATGAGAGCAAATTGAGGAACTGGACCAAATGTGACTCTGCGAGGCTTTCGATAGGATTGGGTTGCTGGTGACAGACCGTCCAAGTCAGGCAGTGCATTTATGGGGTTAAAAGCACAGGAGAGAATGAGGGGGGTTTTGCAGACAGGCGGCCGTTTATGTAATCAGTTCGCGTGACCGCCGCCCAGGTGGTGCATAAGCGACATATTTCCTTCCTTTTCGGGAAGCACATCTTACTCTACCACGGTCTTAAACCATCAGTCTACTAATTCACAAAGCGACACTTTTTGATTCTGGAAGAATTTTATTGTGAATCGAAAATGAGCAAGTAAGTCGGTTTCTGTAGATATTCTATTATGTATTAAAAGTGACAACATAACAGGAGAATGCTCCGGGGGAATTGATTGCAGTCGCTTTTCGGCTACCCTACATTATTTGCACCACCTCCTTTCCACTTAATATGTGTAGGGTAAGGGTGTTGCTGCTAAAAAAAAAAGGAATCAAACAAATTGCGGACCATTCTAGCCCCTCTCCGCTCATTGAAAGCACTTTTGCGCCTCGGTATGACTTAGCTTATCCTGCGACAAAATTCTTGCCTATCTAGGTATAGTTCACAGCCCCGCCTATCCCAGATGTCACGGACCAGCCCTTTGGACCCGAAAATCCAAGGGATTGGAGGTTCCCAGTGAATAATCCGATTTGCCTCTGTTTTGCTTTTTCTGCCGATATATGCTCCAACTGATATAAGACAACCGAAGTGCCCGATAAGACAATAATATCCATTCTTGAAAAAACAGTCCTACTTGAGCTCATCAAACGACAATCAAAGCTTACTCTAAGAATCTCCAAAATCACTATGTCAAAAAAGTCCTTCCCTTTGAGTTCGGACAGCCCTGCCAAGGCATTCAATGCGAATCCTTTGCGTGTATGTTCCCGCTTATTCCTTGGATGCTATATTCTAACTTAGCAATCTTAGACCGTGCGGATATGGTATCATAACAGCAATCTCCATCCTATGGACGATATTCAGGAGAAAGGGCTGCAAGATGTGGTTTTTGGAGCCGTGAGTCTTCAAGACTTTGGCCAACGGCTATGTTGTGACAACCACAATTACCCCCAAAATGCGATTATGGTGGACTTTGCCGTAGCTGAGAAGGCTATTTTGAGAATTATCAAGCATTACGGGATCGTCGAATTTATCGCCCTGAGTGACGACGATCCCATTATTGTGGGACAAGGTGCTGAGGATCTCATCTCCAAGAAAACTCTCGGCTACCGGCATATACATGCTCGATATTTGCGTGGTTATGCAGAAAGGTGTAACCTTGCAAATGTACATGGATATACAATGCATGAGTACTTGAAAACTTGGTATGATGAGCGTTTGGACGATATTAGCCTTCGTCTCCAGAGACTTTTATACCATTCATAGATGGTCAGGCTTTTGGTTTGCCTGCTTGAATTGGGAACCCATTCAGTTCTTCGCGACCAGCCTTCCACAATTTTACGATATTGGTCGGGTCTTATGTTCTCCATTGTATCCGTGTTGCTTTAGATAATCGCGGCTGGATGGCAAGTTTAGGCAAACTTTTAAGTCAGCCAAGACGGGTCAGTCAATATTACTAGTTTGCAGTGATTAGTTATAGCTATTCAGCAACCACCGGTCGCCAGAAAATTGAGGCACAGAACCTGCAAAAGTGAAACGCACGGAGGAAATCTGGTCACATTTTCCTCAAATCGATAAAAAATTGGTTACTTGATATGGATTCAAGAGGTGCAGCTCTTACTTTGCCTCTGGTGCGAGATATGACCAATCTTCCACTTAGTAGCTTCTTGACCATAAGAGTGCAAGTGAGGCATCCTGTAGGTGAGTCCCTTGTTAGCCCAATACCATTGTACATTGCTGAAACACCCAATTTTACGACCAGCCGGGTCTTGTCAAATAGGACGGCCCAAGTCAGCACTCCAAGGTTATACAACTACCTGCCAGTCACACCGATAACAATCCTCAGGAGACCAACTTTGGTTCCACTCTTGACATGTGCTTGTCAAACAGGGCCTTCAGCGAGTCCATCAGCCAGACCTCCGAGTTTTGAGCACCGCCACCCAGACCCCTTCCCATGCACATATCGCCGTTATCCTGAATGGTCGGCGTTTTGATTGTGTCTCAAGAATGGCTACTTGTGCATGTCTTCGCGGTCACAGGTCTCGTGCGGCTGGACACTCGTTGAATTAGGTACGCCTGCTCAGTGCTTCTGCCCCATCACCACCAACTGATCATCAGCCATGATCGTGGCTGGAGGACAGACGGACCCAACCGATCTCATGAAACTACAAGGCGGAAGATGCGTTGGGTCGGTCTGGAGTTGAGACTTGTCTCCGCAGAACGACTCTTTCACTTTCTTGGCAGTGTCGTCCGTCGTAGGTGCAGGGTGAGATCAGTGAAAAAATACCGTGAGTGAACCCTCATATTACATATATCAGACACATGCTGACTATCTTGCAGGGCCACTAGTCAAGACGCTGCGAGACATGACATGCAGCCGAACGAGCCTTGCACCGTCGCCACCTTTTCCATGAAGCGATGCGTCTCGCTTTGATGACCGTTCCAAAGTGTGAAAATCGACGTGAATCAGAATTACCTGATCACACCACGCCCTCGCCAGAACCACTGATGCCGACCGGATTGCAGTCCTCGTCGAGAACATCAGCTCCTACTCCACACCCTTGGGAAGTTGAGGCAGCCATGGGACCAACATACCGACCGAGAATACACGACGCGTGGTACGTATATGAAGCTATAGGCTTATATGTCGAGGAAGCCTTCTACGAGGGGAGACTGCCTTTCTCACCCGCGGAGGGTGCGAGTAAGAAGAATGCCGGAAGTCCATCCTATAGGTGGACAGATCTTGCTTTTCGGGACAGACGACGATCGCCACGGACCAGTCCAAGAAGATGACCATGGAGCATTCAGATCTGCCACAAGGCTTGCCGCTTTCTGCTATTTTTCTGCCCCTGTCCAATTTGGTGGAAGCCATTGTCACCAGTGATGGAGAGTCATCGCTTTCGATGACAGTGATTTTTTCAGAGAGACATGCGACTGTCTTGCAACAGCAGATCGCAGGCATATCGTTCATTCCCTTTTTGCAGAATCAGCGACAGCGCCAGCTTCCTGCGGTCATGCGATAAGTGAATGAAGCGGATGTTGCTCAACTGCTGAGACAAAATGATTTGCGTTATGATAAACCATGCGTTGCATTCCCTTCTGCCTCTTGAAACTGCGCGAGACGTCTCCATTGGTAGCTCGCCAAATTTCTGCCTCCTAAGCGCATCAAAAATCGTGATCCATTGTGCAAGTGTTGCCCTTTACGACCGGGTGCTGCCATTGGGCAAAAACATCATACGAGCCCTCGAGCAAATAATCCATGCTTCAGGCTATGATAGACTGCCACCTTGCAGCCCATCTCGTATCAACGCACACGCCGCCAATATCTCGCGAGAGCTGAGAATTGAATCAGTGTACCAGATAAGTCTACAAACCCATTCCGCCACGGACAAAGAGCTTTTGTGGCGCATTATATACGGGCTGAGAGGTGTAAGGTCGAGGATAATAAATTGTGAGTGAACTCCATTTAGCTGGACGTATACTTACATTTTGTGAGAAGTACTTGCCAAGCGCGGAACAACTCGACGGCACACGGTGCAAACGCTCGAATTGCTCCAACGACCCGCTTCTCATCCCATGAACGCCCTGAACCAACATGGACGAGCAGTACCAAGCGAAGGTGCTTGGTCTCCGACGACTCCGGGATGGGTGCGACTATAGGGCGCTTGTCACAATCTCCCAGATAGTCCCGATAGTGCGGCCAACCCATTATGGCAAGAAGAATGATCTTCGCAGTTGAGGTACGTGTGACCTTCCTCGACACTGACACGCGCGCTCGGCGGCATGCAATTGATTGCGGCGGAATGGCTTTCCCCCTGGCGCCTCAACGACAAGTGCCGACACCGAGTGTCACTCGCCAATCCCCACAACTTGGAGGTATCAGTGCCCTACTTTCAGCCGAAACGCCAATTATAAGACCACCCTCACACTACGCATGGGTGACCAGATGATTCAGCGCGACCAAATTTATCCCATTCGCTCCTGGAGCCCTTGGTATTCTCGCTACCCAAAATGAGCAGCCGTCATCGTGAATAGTGAGGCGGGGGTCTGAGGCGGGGATCATCACACACATCATCTGTCTTGAGGCCTAATGTTGAGCATTGGCTCTTTTGCCAGGCTTTCCAAAAGTCACCAGGTGATTGGGCAGTGCCAGAATGCGTTTGTTCGATTTGAATGCACCCGTAATCCACCCTCCAATCGCCCGTCCAAATGCTGATCAGTCATCGGATAAATGTGAGTCAAAAGTCCCCTTTCTGATCTGTGAGCTAACGTATGCCCAACAGAATTTGTCTCGATGAAACCCAAAGCACGCCATCACCGCCGCAGGCAATCGACTGCCTTGTTCCGGATATGCAGTTCATGTCAAAGTACGCGTTGCCGGTTTCTCAAACGAAGGGCATGCTGAAGAACATGCGCACAAAGGACTTGACTGCCACGGTTGTCTGGCTCAGGTCAGTGCCATGGCTGGACTTGGTCGGTCTTGTGGGAGTTGGCTTGTAGGAGTTGGCTTGTGGGAGTTGGCTTGTAGGAGTTGGCTTGTAGGAGTTGGATTGTGGGAGTTGGATTGTGGGAGTTGGCTTGTGGGAGTTGATGTTTGGCAATCGGCTCGTGGGAGTGGGTTGGTGAGCATTACATTATGGCAGTGGGATCGTGGGTATTGATATGTGGGAATCGGCTCGTGGAAGTGGTTCGAGAAAGTCGGCCAGGAGTTGAGAAAAAACCAGGTACGTCTGCTCGAGAGATACTCCATGGTCATTTCAATCGGCTACAGCTGTAATCCGGCACAGAGAGGTCCGAAGCATGTTTGAAGAGTCGACTAGAGCGAGCATTGGTTGACCTGAAACTTGAAGACCCATCAATACATGGGCTGTCTTGTCAGCCGGAAGCCACCAGAACGAGCCGAGTATTAAGGAAAGTCGAGTATGAAGAGCTGTGAGAAGATATTCTTGGCATGATGTCGACTGACTTATTGCAAAGGCCAGTGTCGTGTGCGGACCAACTCCGCGGGACGTCGCGTAAACAATCCTGCCCCGCGTCTGGGACAACCTCACCGCCTTTGCCGTCGCGTTGGATCAATAGCACCCTTCGCCAAGCACTGGTGGATGCCAACCATTCACGCTTTGGAGACGCAACGCTGTGTTTCCATTCATGAGAAGTGCGGGCGCCGACCCCGTTCCACATCCTTGCTCAACAAGTAGCTCTGTCGCGAACGTGATTATTCTTGCCAGCCTGTCCACCCGCTGCGCGACTGACGTTCCGATCTCCACGGACACTCACAGTAATCGAGCACACGTGCATTGCAGCCTGTCATCAACTCAGTGCCAGCAATTGTATGCTAGCGGGGATTTTGCTCATGCTTGAACAAAGGCACGCGATTGAGACAAGACCAAATTCGAAAATGGAGTAGAGGTGCAACCAAGGAAATTACCTCATTCGATGAGAATGTCGATGGATCTACCCACATCGATGGGGGCTGGAGACTCGTCTGCCAGGCAACACGTATGATATCGCCCCCACTGGTACTTGATGTTGTGTCGGCGGAGCGATTATGTGCAAACGTGGGTGACACGAAGCCACATCCGGTAGCCATACAGTGCGCTGAGCAAGCTCGGCAAATCTGGCCTGACTGTCATTGCAAAGCCAGTGACCGAGCGCTACCGCCGCTGGGTCAACTTTAGCCGATAAGATCCCATGCGACCTTTGCATTGCAGCCATCACTGCTTGGCCATATTAGTACTTCAGAAGTCTGGGAGATCTCACGTAAGGTGTCATGAATTTGCGCCGTCTCTTGCAGTATCGACCAAATTGTGGTCCTGCTCGAGCCATCCAAGTGGGAGGGATTTCTCGCGATTCTTGTCGTTTGCTGACCTGAATGCCACAATGGTTTCCCAACATGCACTGCCATCCCATCACGTGATATGGCTCTGGCCCCAATTCTGCTGAAGAGAAGTCGATTTGAGCTTCCAAAAATTCATGCCCATTTTATTGGCGAATCGAAAAATTCAGAGAATTTGGTACTCGCTGGTATAAATCTCGCCCAGGAATTCATTCTGAAAGGTATGGGAATCTATGAAGAGGAAGCCATGGCCGTGTAAGGCTACTCGCCCAACTGCCATGGCAGATAAAAGAAGGGTTCTTACGCATTGGTGCTAGGTATCTTGCTCAGTTGCTTGTTATTTGAGTACAACAGTGAGGTTTGTGCCAAGATGATGTGGGGCGAGATGCAAGCTCGGTGTCTCTGGGTTGCATCGTCTGGTCGAGTCCCTGTGACATCTGCGCTGTCGCGTACATCCCTGCATGACTGCATGAAGTCATCTTTGCTCGCTCCAGGCCTGTCTCAGTGCGCCTGTTTGCTCCTTCTAAGACAGCAAGTTCTGCTGGCTCTGTCCTCGAGAATGCCATCGTGCTGAACGCGGGTGATGCGTCATGACACAACGCTTATTGGCCACCTCATCAATCACACATCTCGGCTTTCGCACAGTCATGTGTCTCATCAGACATCCAGCTGTGCGTCGCTGCGTCGCTGATGTCTCGCAGTGCATGATCACCACGAGTCGTTGACTTGCCTTTTAGGCGCATCTTATGTTCCGCGTGAGCTGCTGACTGATGAAGAGCGACTTGAGGTTCTTTCGTAGTATTTTCAGATGCTTTCATCTAGTTTGAAGACGAGTGCTCGTCATACTGGGCAAATTCTAGGCCAGTGATGCAGATGATTATGCTTTCGTCCTGCATGTTGCTTCCGCCTACGTAGTTGCCCTGATAAGACCTTGATGATATATCCTTTTCGTAGACTGATGACTACTTTTAATGAGACACGTGCAGTATATCATGTTGTTCGACGGTCGTATTATGATAGCCTTGTTATTGTGTGGGACAGGGAAAGCTCGCAACGTGACCGTACACAAAAGACGTGAATGGTGTCATTTCATCGGATCTAGGGCTCACGCGCAGCGATGTGGGACTCAGGTTTGCAGCCGGTCGGGTTGTCGAGCATTAGCTTTATGTTTGCATCATACAGTACGTGGTCGCCTTTGAATTAAGTTAATGCCAATTGTCTCATGTTGTGTCGCATTCGTACCCAGAGGAGACTGGTGTAGACTTCATTGGTCATATTTTCATGAGACCGCTAGAATTTCTAGTCAGGCGTGCGATTTGGATGTCATAAAATAGCATACGTAGTTCAAAAAAATCTTGTTGATTCATTGAAGGAGGTGTCATATATTGTACACATATGGTATATATATATATCGGGAAGTTTGAGCCGAGTGGATTCTTGGTGTAGATTATAAGGATTTTGACATAATCTAGCTTTCTGTATGAAATATAATTATCGGCCGTATGCCACAAGTCATTTACTTGTCAAGCAGGACTTGACAACGGCTGTTGGCCTATAAGACAAATACAGTACTGTGGGTGGGATCTTCCAAATAGGATGGAGCGTGCGCGAGGGATGACACACCGCCTAAGCGCCTCGCTCCGTTTGACAACAACGCGTCCAGACTCAGCATTGACGGTCTGCTCATCGACGCGTCGACACTGTCATCATCGACAAATTGTTTCCAGTGCTGGTCACTATTTTCCAGGCTGATCACCGTTTCTAAGCTGGTCATCGTTACTAAGGTGGTCACCGTTTCAAGCTAGTCATCGTTTCAAGCTAGTCACCGTTTCAAGCTAGTCACCATTTCTAAGCTGGTCACCGTTTCTGAGCTGGTCACCGTTCATGAAGTCGTGCTCGATTATTTACCAACGCTCATTCAAGTGTTTGCACAGCATTTCAAGTGTTGAAAAGCCAGTCAACTGTTGATTAAGCCGTTTAAGTGTTGATGAAGCCGGGTAACCGTTTGAACAGCCGGCTCAACTGTTTAGACAGTCGGTCAACTGTTTAGACAATAGGTCAACTGTTGACGAGAATAGGCTCAACTGTTTACGAATGGTCATTCAACTGTTTATTAGATCAGGCTCACCTGTTTAGAAAGCCGGTCAACTGTTTAAGAATGCCGGTCGACTGTTCACGCACGCTCAGTCAACTGTTTACAAATGCTCATTCAACTGTTTACAAATGCTCATTCAACTGTTGATGAAAACAGCCTCAACTGTTTACCAGAGCAGGCTCAACTGTTTACGCACGCTCATTCAACGGTTCAAGACGCTCAGTCAACTATCAACTTTACAGGCTGGTTGCCACCGGACTATGGATCACCGCATCTACCCGTCACCACCAACGCCAACCTCAACAGTCATCTCGGTTTTCCTGACCTTTGAAACAGACATGAACAATGCTTTCTTGCCCAAGTGTGATGGCCTTTGATCCAGCGACCAGCCTGGACGTGTGTGTATACATCCTCTAGGTGTGTAGACATCTCGTGAGACCAGATTCTGGATATGATACTACAATGCACGGCGAATTCGGTACAGTAACAGCAAAATGCTGGGTTTATCCATTCTCTATATAACGCTATCTTGGAGTGAAAATAGGCTCTGAATGCGCTCTCCTGGCCTTACTGCCAGTCTCTTCGCCTATGGCCCGAGCCTACAAAAGTGAACTATCGATGTTGGAGCAGGTCTTGGCTTCTTCAACTGCAGAGCGAAAGTTGAATACTGGTCCCTAGCACCACGTAGAGGTGCCTGCAATTCGCTAGAGTTCCTTGGTGTCGCAGCTTCCCCCTGCGGAGAACTTGGTGATGCAGCGGTCTCCTGCAGAGAACTTGTTATCGCAGCGGTCTCCTGCGGGGAACAGTTGGTATCGCAGAGCCCGTCCTGCGGGGAACAGTTGGTATCGCAGAGCCCGTCCTGCGAGGAACAGTTGATAACGCAGAGCCCGTCCTGCGGGGAACAGTTGGTATCGCAGAGCCCGTCCTGCGGGGAACAGTTGATAACGCAGAGCCCGTCCTGCGGGGAACAGTTGGTATCGCAGAGCCCGTCCTGCGAGGAACAGTTGATGTCGCAGAGCCCGTCCTGCGGGGAACAGTTGATGTCGCAGAGCCCGTCCTGCGGGGAACAGTTGGTATCGCAGAGCCCGTCCTGCGAGGAACAGTTGATGTCGCAGAGCCCGTCCTGCGGGGAACAGTTGATGTCGCAGAGCCCGTCCTGCGGGGAACAGTTGGTATCGCAGAGCCCGTCCTGCGAAGCATGTTTGGTGACGCAGAGCTTGTACTGCGGACCCGTGGCCACGAAAACCCTCAAGCCTGCAGACAAGAGATGGAAACAATGACACACGGGAGTGTGAGGAGGAAAGTCCTGATTTTTTTTGGGCCGGAAATCTCGCGCCTTTTATGTCAAGTCGCCTACGTCTCTTCACAGAAACCCCCTGTGCAAATTCATACGAATGGCCACTGATTTGGGAGGGCATTGGAAAAGTGACTTGAAAATCTTTGGTCAGAAGACGTACGTTCCATAGATCCGTGGTTGGCCTCATGTTGCCAGGGGGACCAGCTCTTGGTTCCGCCAAACCGATCATCCAGACTCTCCATTTCTTGCGGTGGGTTACATTGGCGACTGGGTACCAGAATTGATGAAGTGGAATCCATGGGTATGATTGCTATGGCAATGAAATTGCGTTGCGCTGCAAGTTGCGACAGATGTATTACACTACAGCATTCAAAGAGAGCTGAACGCATTCGACATGCACATCAATTATGAGTACTACTGCAATCATTGTCGTGCATTGATGTAAAAAGCTTCCGCAACGCGCCTTATTCTTGTTCACATCCGTCTGAGAACCCAATGGGTACTGTAATATCAAGCAAGATGCTTGAAAAGAGTGGACCTTGGGACCAGGGTTGAATGAGAGCGGGCGCCGCTCCGCAAGAACGATCTGTGTGCGACATGCTTGCTGCGATGCGTCGCAAAAGAGCGTCAAGATTCTTGATGGCAATGATTTGGCCAGCTGACTTGATGAGAGAAGACCTTAGAAATTTCAGGCATCCTCCCTAGGCAGGCGCAGTGCGGGTATCTAGCGTTGCGTATGCATCTCAAGCTAAGGAGGTAGCGGAAGCAAAGACCTTCATGGCTAAAAAGAAGGGATCCGCGACCTACAGGGAGCTAGGCTAACAGCCGTCAAGGGACTGTTAATGGCAGAGAAATAAGGAGCGGGCGAACGCCTCATTGACGACCGTCCAGATCATCACATTGTAAGGAGATCTGACATCTCAGTGGGTTCTCAGTCGGGACTTTCCCACGTATTACAGTACTGCTCTCTATCGCTGACTACATGCTGCCTCCCAAAAGTTCACGGTATCGTGGTCATTGCCCAATTGGTCTCCGGTGTGGAAGGGAGCCGTTCTTGGGCCAGCTGGTTTCGATCGACGCAACCCACGTGCCAAATAAGGTTTAAGGTGCCGGCCGATCATTTCGATCTCGCCGTCCCACTCTCCACCCCTCATCTGAGTTATGCACCCTACTCAGGACGATTGCCTTGGCCACTGGCAAATTCTCGATCATGAGGTCAATCAATGACTACGAACATAGTAAAATACTCTCCTGCTCACCTCTCTGCAATCGACGCGCGTGGCAGGGCAAAACCTGAGGGTTCACGAGTACTTTTGCATGACTTTGGCCGATTGGCTGGCTCGGCCCTTCAATCATCCAAACCGACCAGGCTATGGGCCATTCTCTACTTGTTTGGAGCAATCGTGATTGGCTGTTTGACTGAGGAACGAAGGGGCCTAGCCTGATGCGGAGAGCCTATTGTGACCCAAGCATCCCGTCGTGCCTGGCAAATCAGCTGCCAGCCTGTACCCTGGAAAGGCGTCGGTCACTTTCTAGAAGTTCCATGTGGCGCAAGACCCACTACTGATGTAACATCGTGGACCACAAGCCATGAGATTCATTTCGGGTTGAGGCAGGCGACCTTGACCGGATTTACAAGCTAGCTCCCATCTTTAACATTCATCCCTTGTCAGCCCAATTTCCGAAGACAAGATACTATCTTTCCTCTAGATTTCTTCCAATCAATACCTCTTACAGAATGTCAAGCTCCATGTCCAAGGCTTCTACCTTTTGGCCAGGCCAATATTCTGCCAGGCTCGCCAAAGCTCTTGAAGATGAAGATAAAGATGAAGATGAAGACGGTGCAGAAGAAAACGCTTCACATGAAGAGTCGATAGCGGGCCAACCTGAATCTTCGAAGTCCATCCCTACTGAGCGTGTGGGTGTTCTGCATGACAAGGGTGAGCGACATGGAAGCCGCCGTGGCAAAAAGCCTTTGAACGCACCCGACCGACCGATGAAAGTGGCTGATTCATCACCACGCAGATTACGCCGGCCTGAAAATCTTGCAAACAAACGGTCAGTGAATGTTTTGGTAGAAATTCCTCTGCTCTGTCCCATTCTAATCAATGATTTTTAGACCTGCGAAGCAAGTGAGGAAAGAACCATTCATAAGTTTATCCAAGAGAGAGGAAGAGACGGGACGATGCAGAAAGGCAGAAAGGAAGACTACTGAACGACTGGTCAAGAGACGATTGACCAGGGATATCGAAGTCTTGAAGAGAGAGGTGGAGGATCTTCAAGAAATGGTCACTCGGCAGGCATCCCTGTCTGAGCGACGCAAGGAAAAGCGAGTCTCGTTCTATGAAGATGTCAGCTAAAGCAATCAATCGAGGAAGCCTGACAGAATAGAATGTGTCCTTGTTGTAGTTCAAAAGGAAGAATTTTTTTATTCAGAAGGGAAATATGAGGCCATATATACAACGAGGAGATTAAGTTGATTTCCAATCAACTTGACTCTTCGTATACATACTTCGGGATTAATTCCGATGGTTCGGCTTGGTTCCTGATCTGCACCAGCCTCATATCACAACAACCACCATAGAGAACGGCCATATTCTCTGCCTTGAAATATTGTACATCCCCACCCTCAGATAAATGAATTCTTTCAAAGGCAGTATACTTCACCGCCGAAGCGAAGTATCCATTGCGGCTAGATTCCCGCAGCCCTGTGGATCATGATCATCGTCGTCCACTGCTCCGCCCTAGGCTCCTTACAAGGAGAATATGATATTCTACGCTGCTCGAGTTCTTCATCCAATCATGGCAAGCCTTGCCTACTGAGTTGCCAGGGGGTCAGTCAATTTGAGCAAAGTCAATTCTGAGGCTTGCCACGGGTCATACGATTTGGAATCGTCTGCCAAGAGCTATGAATGCAACACCGAAAAACTTTGTTAGTATTCGTAACAATTATAATCCATTGTAGCCACTCTCTGACTTGGTAATCCTAGCATGTGGGTTCAATTGGAATAATCCACCCGCACGGGAAAACTTTATTAGCACGTGGTAATAGTGCGCACGTTCTAGCCTGGCCCAATCATTGCTCCCTCCACAGCTACCAGACATGAGTTGACGTTTCGGGCCTGCTCTCGACCCGCTTATCAAATCTGGTCTTAATTAGTTCCCTGCTGCCTTCAAAGTTTGCAGCAGATTTCTCCAAAGTGCATTCATTGACTCCACCCCTGGGAAATATGTTTTGTACCCATTTTCTTGCCGCATGATCGCGGCTCTTCGAAATGTCAACACATCATTTCAGAGGAAGTTCCAAATATCGTGACTCGCATCCAAATCCACATGACAAATTGAGATCTCGTCACCAGCTACCTCCCACTGCCAACCGACCGCTGGTATCTACAAGGATCGAACACACCCTAGAAAATCTCAAAGACGAAGTTGATAATCACATTCCGCTAAAGTCCGCCTGTTATTCTACTTTGGGCGAAAGCGGAGAAGCCAAAAGCCACGCGTCTGATGAGGATGATTCCGACCCTGAGCGACCACGGAAAAAGCGTACAATTAGTGTTGATGGGCTACAAGACACTCCGCCAGTTTCACTCCCTGGTCCCCATGCTCCAAGATGGTCTGATCCGGATTCTTACACTTCGATACCCCCAACAAGCCAACAAACGAATGACAGGGTCGATATTTTCAAGCTGATTCGGGAATCGAGACTTGGAAATGCAGCGAAAGCAGGTGAGACTGATGAGGTGAAAGAGAATTTGGATTTCATTGCTCTCGGCATGATACCAGAAATCGAACTTGAGAGAAACGCTCCCGAGAACGCCCTTGACATACCTCCGCAGAGACAGACAGGCAGAGGAAGCATTGGTCCTGTTTCAAGGCGAAGTCGAATCCGTCGGGGTATGGTTAAATGCCGCTCTCGAAATACTAGCAAGCTTGGAAGCAGGTGCAAACGTGACGGATCCGTCATTAAGAAGTGGAGACCACAGTCTCAAGAGACAGGCACCCCTTGGCTTGAACCAATTCCGCCTTGCTTGCCCATAAAATATCAGTCAGTATACTATTCGTGCTCTGGGTTAATTGGATTATTCCTTCTCATGCGAACTAGGTTAGATTACGAGATTATCAGCTTCTACAACTGGGTCAAGCCACAAGACTTCGAGAACATTGTCCGCAGAGATCTGGTCGAGCGGTTGAAAGCTGCATTTCAAAGCCGATATGCTGGTATTGAAATCCACATCTTCGGCTCTTTTGCCTCTGGTGTCCATCTATCTACCGCCGATATTGACTTGGTGTTACTGTCAGACAGCTTCAGACACACAGGAGTGCGTTCATTTGGCGAGAAGAAAGGGGAACTACATGCAATTTCTGATTTTCTAAGAAGCATTCATATCGCTCTCCCTGATTCGATCGAGTGCGTTGCCCATGCTCGAGTGCCGATTGTGAAATTTGTTGACAGCTTGACTGGGCTGTGTGTCGATATGTCTTTTGACAACAACAGTGGTTTGATCGCCGCCGAGACCTTCCAAGTGTGGAAGGAGCAGTTTCCTATAATGCCCGTGATTCTGTCAGTCGTCAAGTTTTTCTTGTTGATCCGTGGTCTCAATGAGGTCCGAAGCGGCGGACTAGGAGGATTTTCTACCACTTGCTTGGTCACAAGTTTCCTCCAGCATTTACCTCAGCAACCTCTACAGCCCACTCTTGGAAGTAGTCTCATGCATTTCTTCAACTTTTATGGAGATCAGTTTCGATATGATCAGGTGGCGATCTGTTTGAATCCTCCGGGATATTTCAGCAAGGTACGCTGGGTGGAAACGATACATTCTCTGCATTAGCTGACCCGTGAAACACAACAGAAATCTTTTGGAAATCCGAATCGTCTCACTATTGAAGATCCAAACGATACGTACAATGATATCTCCAGTGGGGCAAAGGCGACCGACTTGATTTTCCGTATCTTCGCTGGTGCTCATACCACTCTGAAGAATTGTTTAGAGTCCCTCACTTCCGTCCAAAGCCCAAACAAAAGCATTTTGGGGTCAATAATTGCAGCGAACTTTGACAGATACACTGAACAACGCAACCAACTTCACCGAGTCTTCATGACAGAAGAGAGATTTGCTAAGCACAGGATGTCTCCATCGCCGCCGTCGGAATCTTGGCATGTCAGCGGAGTGCGTTCTGCTCCCCCGCCGCTACCTGTTGGGCCTCCGAATACACAATTCCTCGTGATTCCAGTGCAAAAACCTCGGAACGACGCAACATCCAAATCGAAATACACGAGAGCCGAATCAGAAGACAATCCTGATGAGCATCTTAGCGAAACAAAGCTTGTCAAGCCTCGCAGGGGCCAAAGAGGACCACAAGCTCGCGGGTGGCGCGCAGCAAGAATGAAACGCCTCAGACCTGATCTTCAGAATCTACCCAGCTCGCTCACAGTCAAACAGGCTTTGCAGCACGGTGGATATGCTACCAACGGGGAAATGAAACGTGATTTGAACTTGAGGGAACGGAAACAAGCCGCGGCCTGAGTAGATTCTTCTCAGCTTTGGAACTCACTCCAGCAATGAACCTCTTTGGACTTTTCAGCCAGTACACGACAGCGAGCAACCTCCGGTTCCTATCATGCCTTCCGTCGAGACTTCTCCTACAGCTGCAGAAGCGGTGCGAAGCACCGCTAGACCAAGTACACAACAGTTGCGTAAAGGGTCGGAGCATGTGGACTATCCGCTTTTTCCTGTGGCCTCTGCATCCTCAGACCCGCCATCGCTACGTCGATCAGGTTGGAAGAGACGGGCTCCTGACCGATACAGGGCGTAGATGATTCGCGCACAATCTAGCCAGGCAGCTTCCAGCATGCACCTGTAACATGGTCAGTCGGCAGAATGGCGTGTCAAAGCTGCGGTCGGGGAGGCAGGTGTCCTGTCAAAGTTGACAGTCACCTAATGGTTGGTATAGAGGAATTTCCTGAGGTAATCTTGAAGGCTGTGTGGGCCGTCTGCGACGAGTGCTTTCAAAAGGGCTTCTCCTGGTCAGTGCATTTTTTAGATAAATGGTACACTAGGACTTCTGAGAAGTGAAGTTTTGGAGATCTGAGATTTTTTTCCTTGAGTTCTTTTAAGCTGAGCAGAATTCGATTCCATCCACTATGCTCTTACCGCGGAATGAGACACGCGGCCTGAAACAGCTACTTGAGCTTGCGGGTCAACATTTTGACCGGAATCATATCATGACTCCAAGATCCAATTGCGGATTTGTTTTGTCTTCCCATTAATATCTGAAGCACCGGTACTACGTGTCTGTAGTACCTTTCAGCAGCAGCACTGTCCATTCCCTTTCGTAAAAATTCGTCGCGGCAATTTTCCTACCTGCCAGCAATCTTTCGAGCCCCGTACATCTGAAATGGTGCACTATGTCCACATCATCGCTAGACAACATGGAGTTCCACCAAGCGAGATAAGTGACCATATCGGGCGCTTAGAGGAGGCCATTGGGCTTGCATTGCCACCAACTTCCATTTGGCATGGAATGGCCTATCATCAAGGTCGCAAACGACAACACCCGTCCTGGTTTCGAAAAGAGCTCATTTTTGCATGTACGGGTCACGAAGATTTGAAGCGCCTGGATGAGATATGGTATCAGACCTGGGTGTTTCTGATCAATACAAAAATTGAAGGGGATATGAACGAGAGGCTCATACGAGCGGTCTTGGGCTTATAATGACAGTGGAAAAGGTAGAACATACCGAAGGGGGACACTTTGATGCGTTGACAAAGCGCATGCTTCACTTGCGGAGCGAGATGGCATGGTCGCACAATGGGCAAGCCGGGAAAGAAGACGCTCAAGGTTGTTGATATTTTGGGAGACGGTTAGAAATTGGGAGGCATGTCTGATGTGAAATTACTACCATGCTCGAAGGTACTTTGCCATATCCAAACGCGCAAATTACCTGCTGAATCTTGTCCTAGGCGAGGAAGATGATCAAAGAGCAACACGAAATGCTACAAGAATGATGACGCTTCACTGTGCAGACATCTGGTGGATCACCACAACGGCAATTTAAATCACCAGAATGGAGACTGCAGAGCTTGACGGTGAACGCACTAGATTATGGTTCAAAATGTTTTTTTCTGGTTCAATATCACTCTCGCTTCTTCAAAAACCTTCCTTTCCGTCTTCTCTCTTCGTATGTATGATAGTTCTCGTGGCTTACAATTCATCATCATCATGCAACTCTTCTCCTCCCTCGCTGCCTTTGCCGGTCTCGCTCTGGCCCAGAATGCGGTAATCAGACTACCTACCCCCAATCAGACAGTCGCTTCTGGCAGAGATATCATCGTTCAAATGCAACGACCTGTATGATGATCTCCCATTCTTCTGGCCAAATTATAATTTTCTAACCGCATTCAGGATTCCTTGACTGGCTCGACAGAGATGGCGGTCGCTATTGGTCTTATCTCTTGCCTCCATCGAGTCTGTCAGCCTGCCAGCAACATCATGGGAACCATCCTTTACAACGGGGTGATTGACCCCGTGTACCACGAGGCCTACCTGCCACCTTACCAGAACTTCACTGTCACAGTACCCTTTTCCTTTGCGGTAGGTCAGGCCCAGATCAACGTGGCTCATGCCACACTTATCGGAGTGAGTGACCCTTGATCACAATTGTCGGCTTGTATTCTGCTGACCGTTGATACAAAGCTGGCCCGTATCCTGATTTGGAAACCCTCAATCAGACTATAATCATTTCCTAGAAAAATGGTCAATATCCTCTGCACTTTTCTTGCTAGCAGACTGCCGTCTGTATGTCATGTAATCCTCTTCTTATTCTTCTTCATTTTGTAATACTCATTAATTCCAATTTCAACAGTCGAAACTTATTCGCTCCGGTAGTAGTCGATAGTGTTGTTGACTTAGACTTTTCATTTTTTGGGTCAAACACCATAGACCGAGCAAAAAGACAGGTGTAATCTCCGATGTACCAGAGCGCTGGCATCGACTACGCCAAAGTCATTTGGGCTGCAGAATCATTTTTTTCGTGGAGTCGATGGGTGAAATGGGATGAGCGGGTCCATGATGAAGGGGCAGTGGATAAAATATTCTCGCGCACAGGCCCACGCCAAGAGGCCATGCCGCGCGCCAAACCGAACATCCATTACCACTCGATGTCGGGCTCCTTCCTGAAACGCAACAACCGAACATCCTAGTTGATGGGTGCTTTTTGACAGCGACAATGACCTTCTTGTATTGGCCAGGTCTACATAATGAAACGCGAAGCACCGTCTGATCTACATGGCTGCAACAGTGTTGGTGACGTGCGACCAGCAAAAGCGCGCCGGCGAGAAAGCCCCAGCACGAATCCAGAGCTTTGGAAGAAAGAGCACGAGCACAGCAAAGCGCAGCAACCGCTTTCTCCCTCCTCTCCTGAATGTGATAGTAAAGTATGTTTTGACCCTCAACTTGCGATAATCATCACACTGACTGCCTAGTAGCCTGATACCCTCGAACACCGAACCACCACCCCTACATCCCTCCCGAATGCAACCGACGAGCTTACGGACGATATATACCAGTGGATCCCTGCACCGTCGGAGATTGCCGCGCTTGAGGCGATGAGCCAACCCGCGTCGAAACGATCCCGATCGTGTTCGATCTCCACTGATCGAGGGCGTGCTCCATCGGTCTCGTCGGACAACAGCGAGAGCAGCTCGGCTCGGGACACCAGGTCATATGCGTACCGAGCCGTCAACTATGTCACAATTCTAGAGACCAAAGGCTGCTTCATGCGACAGTCCCCCGCCGGTCCGATGCCCGAGGATATTGCGCTCTGCGAGCGTCTTCTCAGTCAGCCCATCGAACCCCCTAGTGGTACACTGCTCGAAGACGAATATATCACAGCTTTTCATGATGCGTTGCAGAATCGATCCGAAGCGCGTCTCTTGGTAGACCTACACCCTCTGATTATGCCCTCCGCGGAGAATCAATACATTCAGGGGAACCAATCTCTGAAGGATGTGATTGATGGGTACAATGATCCTTGGCTGAAGACCGAGCCGATTTATGGTCCCAAACCGCAGCCGGATCATGCGCGAGGCTTAAGATGGTCGACCTTTTCCGAGACTCAGCGGCGCAAACTCGGGATCAAGCCTGACGAGAAATCACCCTACACGGTACGAGAGGACATGTACTTTCCATACTTGACCGCAGAAATCAAATGCGGGAACCAGGCACTGGATTTTGCCGACCGGCAAAATATGCACAGTATGTGCATTGCCCTGCGAGCCGTGGTCTCTTTGTGCCAAGCGGCAGGCTGTACGGAAGAGGTGCATCGGCGGATATTGGGCTTTTCGATATCGCATGACCTCGGAGGCCTTCGAATATATGGCTACTATCCCGAGATTGATGATGCCAAGGTGTCATTCTACCGCTGGCCTGTTGCGCAACCCAATATCTGGTCCAAAGAGAATCGGTGGACATGTTATCAGTTTGTAGAGAACCTGGACCGTGAATTTCTGCCTATTCATACTCACCGGTTGATGCGGATCCTGGAAGAATTCCCGGACCCAGACGAAGATGATTTCGATGTCGAAGTCGACGAACTTGACTCTCAGGTGTCCATGGTCGGATCGCAGGAACGCCCGGGGTATCGCAGAGCAGCATCTTCGCAGAATCGTGGTCTACAACCAGAGCTACGTATGATGGTACAAACATTACAACAACAATTGGGAGAACAGAAGGAACGAGAAGAGAAGCGAGAGGCGGATCAGAAGAAAAAAGAAGCAGAGCAGAAGGAAAGAGAAGAAAAGCTCCTCGCTCAATTGGAACAGCAAAAGCTACGGGAAGAGAAGCGAGAGGCGGATCAGAAGGAACGAGAAGAGAAGCGAGAGGCGGATCAGAAGGAAAGAGAAGAGAAGCGAGAGGCGGATCAGAAGAAAAAAGAAGCAGAGCAGAAGGAAAGAGAAGAGAAGCGAGAAGCAGAGCAGAAGGAAAGAGAAGAGAAGCGAGAAGCAGAGCAGAAGGAAAGAGAAGAGAAGCGAGAGGCGGATCAGAAGAAAAAAGAAGCAGAGCAGAAGGAAAGAGAAGAAAAGCTCCTCGCTCAATTGGAACAGCAAAAGCTACGGGAAGAGAAGCGAGAGGCGGAACATAAGGAAAGGGAAGAAAAGAGAGAAGCAGATTATAAGGAACTGCAAAGCAAGCTTCTTACTCTTCTAGAACAGAGAAGATAAGTCGAAATGATCATTCGAACTGTGTTTATGCCTTCTTTGTTGATCATTCCTGTGCAGAGATGTGGTGGTTTTTGAGTTACACTTCCCAACGTGACTAGATGGGCGAATCGGACCCGATGTAGCTCGCTCCGTGAATTCTATTTTGTTCCTTCCTTCTTCGTTGTTGCGCTCTAACCCGAATGGGGGCCAATCGAGCTACAAAAGCAAGATATGCATCTCCAAAGCGCCCAGGGGCACATCCTGGTATTTGAGAGATCTCATTTGCCTAGAGCTCGCGTGTGCTGAAGGCGCCTCCTGCTACAAGCACATGAGGCCGTGCTAGGAGAGAGCAGTGCAGAAGTTGTGGTGGCAAATGCTGGCGTAAACGACGAATGAAGCGAGCATGATTTTGTGTTGGATGACAACGAGTATAAGTGCGATGGAATGGCAAGTCGAGAATTTGTGGTGGTCGAAGTGCGGCTACAGGCACTGGCACTGTTGCCCTCCCAATGTGCAGCGGATAACATGCCGATCACATTTGGAGCGCACAAGCTAGGGCCATCGGTCCAGCCCATAAGGCGATTGGCAATGTCCGAGGCGTAGCAGTGAGTGGCAATTCCCTGACCTAGGTTGCCGCTAGAGGCAACAGCGCCGGAATTGTAAGCACGAGCGGCCTTGTAGAATGAAGCCACATTTGTTGGACCGCCCTCCTGGGCTATCAGTGCCTTCAGGCCAGGCCCGTCTGGGGTTCCCTCGACGCCATCCATGATCATTTGATGGATCTCGCTTTCAGGACAAGGGTTCTGGATGGCTCCATCCCTGTTGCAGGAACCCGACCCCTCATGGCTTTGCATCAGTCCGGGGTTGATTACACCATTGTCAGTGGTCTGAACCCGAACGCACCCTTTGCTTTCTTGCATGACGACGGACAAGATGAAGCGCGCGTCGACGCCGCTCGACTGCTCCACTTGGAGGATGGCATCCTTGATGGAATTGGTCTCGTCATCTGAGTTATTGGGTAGACCCCACTGGGAGCAACTCGCGGACATGATGGCCTTGTTATTCTCAAACATGGCTTCAAAAGAGTCAATCCATTGGTCAAGGCCGGGCCAGCCGTCGGCGACCATACCGTTACCACCCAGCACCGCGGCATAAAGACCAGTGCTGCGCTCGTGAAGGGAATTTCCGGTTTCCTCCGCACGACTAGACAGATGGGAAGAGGCGTTAGACGCTTCAGCAATCAATTGAAGGCTTTGGATCGCCAGAAAGAATGACCAAATGGCCATCTTCATACTGAGGAACCGACTTGTCGGAAACAAAGCGTTGAGCTTGAGAGGAAAGAATGCCCACTGATGTAAAATACGACAAAGGTTTTGGGAAAATATGGAGAAGATCGAGAGATCTCTTGATATGAAGCTTAAAGTGGGATATAGAAGCCTTTGCTGATGCTCAATTGGATCCGGGAAATTGATTCGATATGGCTAAGCGAAAACTAACGACCAGGTGTAGAAAGAAAACACCTTTCTATGAAAAAAGGCACCTTTTGCGTTAACCACTGAAAGACAAGTCCCATTGCTGCACCAAGATAGTGATGACAAGGATATCGTGGCTCAAGAAACCTTTGATTGATGACACGAATTATGCAGACGTCTCACACTTCAGAGCATATCGATTGACAAAGACACTGATTCATATTGTCGAGCCAAAGGCCTGATGTTGACTATCATCGCAGTTTTGCCTCGCGAAACGAATTGTAGCGAAATAACGAGCACGCATGAAATGCAGAACTAGCTGCTAGCATGTTCTACCTACGGCTAGCACTAGATTTGGCCATAAATCCGATGCATACTCAGTTATTTGAGACGATACATCTGGTTTCTGGGTCGCTTACTTGTGCGGGTCATGGTCACACGCCCGGTACCATTATTTTGTGATTTATTCTCAAGAACATGATGTTGGTGCACCCCGAAATTGATTGCTGGGGTCAATGTGTTTCATTCTTCTTCCTTGTTCCATCTTGATGGCATCTCAACGTCACGAGATCAAAATTCTGATCCCCTAGAGCAGGAAAACTCAGTATCCTGAAAATGATGGGAGACTCATTACTTTTCTGTACACATGGACGGTCATGGCGTACACCATGATCGTTGGTAAGGCCAGAAAAGCATAAATAGCTCCCACTGAACATGTCAGTCTAGCTCAGAGCAACCATTCCTCTGACCTGTCATTATGCCATCCAATGGTGTTTCCAAAACGTCGGGCTCAAAGCCAGACAGCATTGATAAGCTCAGAAAGGTGGCAGGGAACACTTCTCTGTCTTCACCGAAATTGGAAAGTGCACGTCGACAAGCAATCATGTCCGATGCGAATCCAAGTATGAGCACGAAGTCGTATTCCGACGAAAGCAACTCAGACCAGACGCAACAGAATGTCACTGTGGACGACAATTCAACACCGCACCCTGATAAGCCCATCCGATCGATAGAGGGTGATGAAGGTAATGAGATTGAGATGACAAATTTTGGCGCAAACCGCAATGTCGACGACCAGCGAGAACCCACGCAAAACGGCTCATTGGATATACAAAATGATCCAAACCATTCTGACGTGCGATCATCGCGCGAGCAGAGTATCGGTAGCCTAGCTGGGGGGCTTAGACGTTTGGCTATTCTCGATCCGCCTATGAAAAAGAACAAAGGTCGCATTACACAAAGTTCATCTCCTGATCCCAATGAAGTTGTGGATGGATGGGGTACTTTGAGTAATTCGAACTTCGTGATTGTGCAAGAAGGTCCAACCGCCTATGCCAAATTCACATTCAAATGGAGACACGGATACACCAACGGTATCACTGCCAACATCTCCGACAGTCACTTCCGAGTTACCGATATCGCAGATTATGTTAATGGAAAATGGAAAAAACGGTATGGGAGGGGAAATGTCGTCTGCTTCTCTGGAGCCGCAATCCAAGACAATGTTGCGCAAGATTCTACACGTAGCCCATGCTCGTGGTTGAGAGTCGAATGGAGGGGTTTGGACGACGATGACTTGGACTTGTGCAACATTACAAAGATAAATGAAGATTCGCAGGGACATTCGTGGATTCCAAAAGGCAGTGCCGCTCGGTTATGCCATGGGCCAGGGGGAGGGAACGAAAAGGTTAAAGAAGTTTGGGATGCCCAGGAGAGGGACTACGTGGCCTGGGCCCAAAAGCAACCTCAAGGCGAAAACTGCAGTCGCTCCACCACGCCATGTCCATTGAACGACTCTGTGATGCGGCTTCGGCAACGGAGAGCCACCCCTCGGAGGGCCACTTCGCGCTGGGAGACCCCTAAAATCAGGGTTTCTTCTCCGGCTGATGATGGTCACAGTGCCCGTCCTTCGTCGCGGCGAAATGACGTGGTAGGTACCAGGTCAAATCTAGTCAGTCTTGTTGAGGACACGGAAAGCGTCGATCCTGCTGCCTCGTCAAAATTGCCATATACCACTACATCGAATGGAAGGAACAATCGGGATACACCCGGACATGAGAGCCAGCCTCCCATTCTCGAAATCAGCTGGGCGGAATTTATTAAGGAACAAGGAAGCGAAAAATGGGTGAACATGGATCCCTCTGAGAGGCAGATTCAGGAAGTGAAAGCCTTGGCTCTTTATAAAATCTACAAGGCGACGATGTATCAGAACACCGAAATCGTGGTCAGGGATTTGGATAGGCCCGATAGTAAGGAGGAGGATCTTTGATTGCTGATAGGTAACAAGCACGTCCGAATTACGCTCTGCTTTCATTGATCTGCCTCGTTAAAGGATGAAAAAGGAGAACAAAAACAAAAACAGAAAGAAAAGCAGTGTGGAAACAGAAAAAAAAATCAGGAAAAAGATACTTTGGCGAGCCAGTTAGGTAATTAAAGTATGTAATAGCGCAGTCTTGTTTCCTTGAAATTTCTGTTATTCTAGCTCTGATATAATTTCATGCAGTCTTCCGTTCCGCAACGTTCATATAGCGCCCAAAGGAGATCGAAGTAAAGATGGACAGTCTAGGTTCTTCAAAGTATTTAATTTATAATTCAACTTTCTTCTCAAGCTTGAGATAGTAGTGATCTCCGAGTCCCCACCTTTGACATGGTTGTAAGTCCTTCGAGAGGTTGGGGATGGGAGTAACCAATGGTGATGTAATGTTGCCATGTGGGGCCGTCGGCTTGTTCGCCATAAGAAATGTGAACGGCCACTCTGTGTTATTCTTGCATCCACCAGTCGATTTATAATCATTCTACCAATTTCTGGGAATAGATCTCAGACATTTAAGTCCATTGGCAATATGCTCTCCTACCTCCGCTGCATTGATTTCATACTATTACTTTCTCAGACTGTAAGTAAAAGCCTCGACATCAAAGCCCAGTGTCTACCGATCAACCTTCCCTAAAAATCTTGCCCTCACTCCTGGACTTCACGCGTAACATAATGGCGACCCACTAGTCATAATAGATGAGTCAATTGTTAGAACACAAAGACGCATACGCCAGCTGTCATCGACTACCATCACATATATCTCGGACGGGGGTTTCGAGCCCGCCGATTGTTGTGTACACAAGCAACTATGCGTTCTTTGACCAAAATGTGGTTCTGACAAGTCGTCGGTTGATAATTTGACAGTCTTGGCCAGTAAAGAAGCTGTTGTGTTGACACACGGTTCACAAAGATAGCCGGCCATCGCCTCAAAAACCCAGCTAGTTGGAAATGAAGTCGCCTGATGTGCATCTAATCCACTGCCCTTCAGATGTGCAGATAACTGCTCCCTCCCTAAACGACAACGTTTATTTTAAGCCCAACCTCAGACTCTTGGTGGCCCAGATTGCAAGCCATCAATTTAAAATGCAAGCGGCACGTCCGCCGCAGTATTACTTATGATGATATGTCCGACCTGGCTGGTATAAAACCCACCTTGATCTCATTCTGTGTTCAAAAATCAGACAGCCCCATGGCAGCGTGGCTTGATCTTGTCAATGAGGATGGAGCCTGGACTTTGGTCGATACCAGTCGTCTGGAGGAGCTGGTGCAGGGAATGCCATCTCCGAAACGCCAAAGCCCAAGTTTGGTCTACTTTGCTGGAAGCTCGAATCGCTTGAAAGCCCTGCGAGCTCTTATACCCCACAACAATGTCACTCGCAAAGGTCCTGCGGGTTGGATCCGTCTTCACCTGTGTGGGAGATCCGGTCATACTGAAACCCCCGTCCTTTTTGCCGAGAGTAGCCTGCTTTCCGAAAAAAGCCAAGGCGACTCACGATGGTCCACACATCATGCTAGCCATCGACACCGGCGATACGCGATTCCAGATGCCGAGAGTGTCTGTTCACCGGCAAAACTACACCAAGAAGTGAAAGCCCAACTCATCCTGCCATGGACCCAAATTTTGTGCCTGTTCATCGACTCCAAATCCGACTTACAGTCTGCCCGAAATCTGCTGCAGCAGCCACGTCGACAGCTTGCGATTGGCGGCCAGCCTGTCTCCACATCCATGCGGATAGTCATCGTCTTGACCAAGCAAGATGATTCGCATCCTACATCAGCGCGGCAATTCGCCGATTTCGAAGCATTTGCTGAGACTGGGGAGACCGTCGTCCTGGATCTGCGTCCAAGATGCGGCCTCTCCGAAACGGTCGCATTCGAACCTCTTCGAACTCTCATCGTGGAGCAGCTGTCCGCTATTCGGGATCAGCAAGAGTCCACCTGTCGTCGTATCTCAGCATCTCATCTAGCTGCCTTCTGGAAGTCTTACATCCAAAGCTACAAACGATCCCTGAACGCACCACGCTTTGATCTCTTGATCGAAGCCCGGAGAGGCTATCCCGATGACAAGTCGATGGGTCGCTTCCTCCGAGAGGGTGCCCATACCGTCATGTACTCTGGCTGCGCCGAGGACGAGATGCATGTCTTTGTGGCCTCGGCCTTCCTGATGCATGCGTACCCCCCTGGAATGCACGGTAAGATCACCACCTCGTTTGAATGCCCACACTGACACGTGTAGGTTTCTCCCCGCCCATCGTCTTTGCCGCATTGTATGAGAAGCATTGTGTCGAGATCTCGCAGAACGGTGCCTCTGACGGTCACTCCGACGGTATTTTATCGTATTTCAGTCAGCAATTCCTGCAATTGGACACCAACAACACATCTGCGATCGTTCGAAAAAATGTACTGCATCGGTTCTTTTGCCGATGGGGCGGCCTTCAATCCACCACGACCTGCTTGGTGTGCTTGTGTCGGCCTCCCGAACACATGATGCCATGCAAGCACGCACTCTGTGACACCTGTGTTGTGATCTTTGGCAAGTCGAGTTCTAGTGGCGAGTATCATTGGGACCTCACTGAATGCCCCGTGTGCGGTGAGCCTTTCCTCGTCAGTATACGCCAATTACCCCCTACTAAGCACCCGGTGATCCTCAGTCTTGACGGTGGGGGCGTCCGCGGCCTGATCCAACTGGGCCTTCTGCAAGCGCTGGAGAAACGCATTGGCCTGCCGATCGCGTCTCTCCCCGACCTGTGTCTTGGAACGAGTGTTGGTATGTACCCCTTTGCCCCAAGTGATCTTTGCATTGTTGCGCTAACAGCGCTATCTGCAGGGGCGTTGACAGCGATTGATATATTTTTGAACCATTCTTCGGTCGAAAATTGTGTACAGGCGTTCCCAGACCTGGCGCGAAAAATATTCCGTCGCTCACGGGGCCCGGTGCCGCGATTCGTTCGATGGTTGGCTTCTGCGTTCAACTTGATCCCCAGTAGCCTCTATAATTCGCAGGGACTATCGCAGACTTTCAGGGAGGTGGTAGGCCTAGACCGCCGTCTATTCGACGTGAATACGGCCAACCCGGCTGGATGTCGGATTGCCGTCGTGGTCAGTCGCACGTCCGACGGCAAGGCCTGTGTGCTGGCAAATTACCGAGGCACGGGCCCGCGCCGTGGAAACTCCGCCTACCAATTTTTAGCGCCCGATGACGAACAAGAGAATCCTTTTCTGTGCGACATGTGAGTTCTGCGTTCAGTCCCCGCAGTTTTAGGCCACAGCCGAAGTAGCTGACAGTAATCCCTTTCACCAGAGCCGAGTGCAGTGTCGCAGCGCCCTTGTAAGTACGCTCCCAGATTCGATGAACCATGACGGCTAACTTTTGGAAGCTATTTCCAGCCAGGACGTCTGCCCGGCTTCGGCTCTTTTCAGGATGGCGGGGTACGCGCGAACAACCCGCTTGCCATTGCGTTGAGGGAGTCTGGCATCATTTGGCCGCGTGCGAAACGACATGATCTTCTCTTGTCGGTGGGCACCGGGTTCACCGCGCCTGCTCTCGATCATGGCTTGCGACACAAGGCCTGGGACGGTGCTCTCCCGCGGCTCTTCCGCGCCACAATGTCCTCGCCCTCCATGGACGGACAACAGGGGTTTTCTGAAGCACTGAATTACCTGCCGCACGGGTCAAAACCGGATGTTCTTCGCCTCGATCAGGCCATCCCCGCTCCGCTCCCCGAGCTAGACGACATCAGCGCGTTGCAAGAGTTATCTGAGATGAAGATTCTCGTTCCAGATGAGCTGGTGAGGATGGTGCTCGCGTCGGCAATGTTTTTCTTCGAATTCGACGCGACTCCCGTTCCTGGACCGGTCGGATTCCACTGCGAAGGGTCTATCCTGTGCTCACGGCCGGGGGTTGGCGAAATTCTCGCGCGTATCTCGATTGAAATCCCTGGTGCAAAGTTTCAAGCTGGTCGGGATCAAGTCCTGGGGGATGTAGACCTACATGACTGCTGCAATTCCTGTGGGTATTATAGGAAACGCGTCGCCTTTCACATTGCCAGCCTGGAAGAGCGTTTCTCCATCAACATCGTCAATGGTAGTTGTTGTGAAAAAATTGGTGGATTCCCAAAGTCCGCAGAGGAATTCCTCGATGCGCAGCAGGCGTTTGCTCATTTTGGCCGCGCGGACCACCAAACGCCATCATGGCCACCCGTGAGGCATTGCTACTGTGCTTATGGGGTGAAAAGGACGATTCGGTTCCTGGAACCTTCGTCGCGGCAGAAGCGAAGGCGGCTGTGATGTTGGGACCGGGGGGTTTCACTCGCATTGCGTTAGTGTCTCCTAAAGAGGCTTAATACGTCATCAGGTCGTTAGTTCTTTCGGTCTTGACTCACAGCGATGTTTTTAGAATACAATCTCCTGTGAACAGGCCAGTATGTAAAGAACTTGAGCGTAAACCTATTGCGCCCTATACTGCCATATTATTATTATCCAGGGGAATGTAGAGCCACGCGTTTTGTTCGTTGAAGTCGGTTCCGCTTTGCGAAGTATCTACTGTTGATCGAATGATGTGTTTAGCTTCGCTGCCTGTTGGGGCTTATTAAACGATTCCTTCAAAGGGGGACTGACCAGTCAACCAAGGATACGCTACCTGATGATCAGGGTGAAGAAGATGTTCAGAAGACCGATCCTGACTTGGGTCTGAGTTTAGCATATAAGCTGTCGTAGCTGTCGTATCTCGAGAGACCAAATCATGCCGTGTCACTATATTCACAGTTGACACCATGAATTCGTTCCGCAAAGCCCTCTCGGTCCATTTTCGTGACAATACCTCAAGCATCTACAGTCGGGCCCCTGACACAGCCAAGGATACTAAGCCAACTGCCACGACAGCCGTCACTCCACCACTGCAAAAATCTTTCCCGGAAATCAACTCACTCGACCACCAAATCGCCATGGCGGGAGGATCTACGATGGCTGTGGAAACTACGCGGTCACGACTGAAGGTGTCGAAGCAATCTCCCAAAACCTCGCGTCGCGCAATGAAGAAACAATGGCTACATCAACGAAGCCAGCAAGAGCGCGAAAACGAATTCTACTCCGGTTGTTTCAAGAATTTTCATCGCCTCGTCGCGACAATCATGGATTCCACTCAGGATCTAGCTCTGCAGTACCATTTCAATCCCGTGGCAAGCCCCGCTGGAGACCCACGCTTGATTCGGACCATTGTCTTACTCAAGACCGCCCTGGACAGATCACGAGTGGAGGAGGCGCAAGCAAAAGCAGAATGGAAACGGCAATGTGGTATTTCCTCGGCAAAAAATGCAGCCACTAGGTGGGTTTGAGATAAAGGCTATTTCGATTCTCAGCATTTTTCTCATGATATGAAAGGGGAATATCTGACATGAGCCCAGTTGTACTGTAACAGACGGAAAAACGGTCTTTCCTACAGATTGCATGCATACGTATTCTTTTTGCTCCCGTCAACATCTTCAAATTCTGGATTCTTTCGAGTAGCTTCTTCCACGAGGTGCCAGCGAAGTCGTCAGATCGTGCTCGGGTGGCTTTGGCTTTCACGCCGGGCTCTCATTGTCCTCAACTTTATGCAAATTCAAGCTGTAGAAAACCTTGAATCTGAGACACCATGCTTTGTTCGTTGTTTTGAAGAACCCTTCTCAAGGCTTCTGGTAATAACTGCAGTCGGCGACCGAGCTGCTCAGGATGAGCGTTACACAGCAGGATCTGCATGTTCACCTTATCTCTCAGCTGAGCTGCCAGACGGTCTGAGCTGGTAATCATGGTCTTCAGGAAGCGATGAAGTCGGCGAAGGCTTCTTGAGCTTCTCACACCTGCAATGCTTTCCAAGAAGCCGATCGCATATCGTACCATTCGAAGCAAAGCATCTGGGGCTTTTAAGATGCGGTGAACAGAAGCATGGCGGATACTACTGACCACGCGATTCCACCTTTGAATCGAGTGTGCAGGCGGACTGCAAGGTTGGGCCTCTAATTTCTGATTATAGTCGGTCAAGAATCCAAAAATCTTATGCAACTCGACTGCCTCCGCACACGTCCATCCTATGGCATGAGATTCGGCCAAGAGCCATTTTTGAACAAACTGAAAGATGTGACCTTCAAGGTGGCGTTGAAGAGCTTGCAGAATCACATGTTGTGCGGGAAATGGGATAGAAGATTTTGGAATGCTGGGTAGTGAGCCTGATAATTCCTGAGCATCTGTTCCAAAGGCAAAGATGTCAGTATTAATCTTGACATGGAACATGTGCACACTTACCCTCCGTCACTGGAGACCCTTCAGGCAACATTTCTACTTTTTTCAAGACAGCCATCCAGATTGTCAAGGCCTTCCCGGCAATGGTGTAGCTGGTTTGATAAAGACCAACAATGAAATACAGCCAGATAAGACCTACCAAACATCCATATAAGTACGTGGTGTCTGCGTGCAGCAAAAAAGCTACTCTGACGGTTTTCTGCAGATGGACAAACATGAGGGTGTGTTGCCAGCCATTGTAAAGCATTCTTTTCAACTCAAATGATCGCAATATCAATTTATTGCGGCAGTTACTTTTCTTACAGGGCTAGGCTTCAAGTATACTCTTCCGTGAGTTCTAATCCTATCAGCAGGGTATTTAATGCCGGCGCAGAATATCTTTACAGCTACTAATGCCAGGCTAGGTCCAGCTTGCCACTATGATCGCCTTGGGCATCTTCATCATCAGCTTCTTGGTAGCAACTCCAGTCGTATGTTGTGTTTTGCTCACCTGCCAAGTTCATGCTGACCCAATATCAGGTGTCTAGACCACTTCGATTGCCGGTTTCCATTTCAGAAGAGACAACCACGGAGCGAAAAGTAAGTCTTTGCACCATGGCTATCTAATTCAAACGTGGTCTTTGACTGAAAGGTGTAGATTAATTCCCTTCTTCTTGCCTACGATACAGAACACGACGGAGAGAAAAATGATCAATTTTTGAGTATGTATTACGTCCCCGTTTCCAGTTCAAAGATTCTGATATGGATGGATAGTCTATCTCGACCCAAGTGCAAACCATGGTAGATATCACCGCCATCATCGAGGACATTTGATTGACCCGTAGAATAATATTTTAATATTGTTTTCGAGCAACCGGGCATCATATGACGGGGACCTCCCGTACTGGAGAGGTTAGACGGAAATGGAAGATGAGAAAAAATAGCAATAGTTAGATTTTGTATTGTAGAAAAACAACTTCAAGAAATGGCGTTATAGCAACAGAAACTGTGTAATGAGTAATCAGATCATTTTGTTCCATCAAGAGTTGCCAGCCGCGGGGGTCGTCGAATTTCGTATTTAGCTAAAGATTGCCATGGTACTGCCGATTTGTAGGTCGATTGCGCTTGAGATGCTCCGCCAGTATCTCCCAAATATCATCCTGTCGGATCGGCGAGGAGATCACTGGAGACTTCGTCTCGACAGGCTGGGCAGAGGCCTGAGAATCATAATCACGCGGTGTTTTGTTCACAAGGGAGCGTTTTTTCTTTAAACCATCAGTACTCAATTACCTGTGATCTTATGGACTATCGAGTCTTACAATAACCTCTCGTGAGGGCGGAGGAACGTGAGGATGCGAATGGTAGGTAAAAATCTGCCCATCTGGCTGTTCCATGATAAGCCATGTCTTCATCCCGTACAAAAGCCAAAACTCATTATGGCGCCGCAATAGGTTATTTCGACGTTTTCGGAGTTGCTCTCGCTTGACACGACTCAAAGGTTGAGCCATTGGTGGGTTGGGTTTGAGATCGAGTAGATCGCAGAAATCATTGACGCCAGGTGTCGCGCTCTTTGTATGTGATGGGGGTTGGGGATAGGGGCGGACGCAAAAAAGGCCTGCTCAACGATCACCACCAGGTTGTGAAGCCCAACCAGCCATAATCCGCGACCGCAGAAATTAAAGGTGCTGGATGCAAGAATCTGATCCACTTTCCAAACGGATATGTGGAGCACCAGCATACTTTAGTCATTTGCGCAGCTTTAGAGCATCATTTTTTGCAAATTCACGGTCTTTGGCTCCGCTACCCTACTGAAATCATTGTGCTCAGAATCCAGAACCGGGGTTCAGTATTAACAAGAAATCCGTTTCCACAAATTCTGTACAAACAGAACACTTGCTAAGATGCTATCCCCACTTCCCTACTTTCAGACCACCAACTCGTACATGTGTTCCTATATCGTTTGTACCCCGGCAGGCCCTTCACTCAAATATGCTTGCTGACACTTGTATGAAGAGCTCCATCAAATACAACGCATCCGTCGACACCCGTCAGCCGACAGCCGTCATAGTCGATATCACTCGAGATATCACATTGCCCGAAGATGCATCACATCCGAGCACCTTGCCTGTTTTTGAGCCATACCCTATACCGACCACGATAGAAAAAATGCCCTCGGGTATCACTACACAGCTTTTACATGCTTCGCTTGACTATGTGGAGAGCTTGGCGGGGGCGGAGGTTCCAATAGGAGACAGTTCTACCATGGCCTTGGCAGATGTTACAGTCATTCGTACAACACGGGAGGCAGGCAGTGGCTTTAGCGGTGGTCTTACTGATTCATCAAACCATACTGCTGCAACGAATGGCTCTGCCTCATGGCCCTTGGACACTGCTAATAAGGACATCTCTTTTGCAACTGTACATACCAACCAAGAAGCCGCGGAGGTCTGGCCAGTCCCAACGTCTCGCGCTATTTTCAGAATCTCTACGGCTGGTTCGGAGCATATGAGCACCGGAGCTTCTACCCGATATGACGAGCCCACGGAAGCCAAGAACGGTGGAGGTTTCAGTAACTTCACCATCCAACGTTCGCCATCGCACACAAGACCCTCCAGTGAGGCTAACAGTGGCAAAATATTTATGACCACTGAGCCTGAAGGGCAGGTTTCAGCATCGACGCTGCCACATACATACACGGAGACAGGAAATTGGACCCCAGGCCCGTCAAGCACTGCGATAACCCCGGCCCCTGAACCACATGGCGCCATCATGGATGGAACTGAGTTTTCAAGACGACTTTCCCAACGGGGTGTAGCGTTGGTACTTGGAAGTGTAGCTGGGGGAACTATTATTTTCATCGGCATGGTTCGTTTGCACCGGCTCATTCTTCGGCTATTCCACAGAAGCGTGCAGGGATCAACAATGCGCCGTGGGCCAGTATCGACGGATGATCCGTTTGTCAGGCAGACTCCCACAGTCTCTTCCAATGTTGCTGGTATTTCACATTTTTCCGCTGACTCTTAGGATATGCGCTGTATTGACTCAAAGCTAAGCAAGAAAACTATGCACATCTTCTAAACCGCTATGTAGATTTGTCTTGGCTGTACCGCAGGATTGACGAACAAATTGAGAGTCATAGTTAGAATATAGCATCATAAAATCCGATAATGCAGCTCCAATTTGTCATATTCCAATCAAGGACATCTTTATCATCGCCTCATTCACATCGATATTGTATATCCGGGGCTATATTTTGTTTATAATACATCAGAGAAGTTAAGTTCGCTTCTTGAGTTATCACATTATGAAGTCAGAGTTAAAAACTGCGCTAAGTCATTATGAGAGGAATTGGTGAGGTATACTTGTAATCCGCTCATATAACATACGTTGGACGAATATCTTGATCCCCAGCAACGATATTTAAGGATTCCGTCCCTCCCTACTGCACAAGCACCTGCACCGCCTATCGTCAGTCTACGTCTCAAGCATCAAATCTTGTCATTAGGAACGGCCATGCCTTTATCTAAGTATTCAGAGCCCGCAGTGACATTTCCAAGAAGAAAGTCGCCCGAGAACCGAACTCCCCAGCCCGATGAATTGCCCATCTGCATGTTGGTCGTCCTCTTCTTGATGCTATACAACAAGCCCTGCTTGCCTTGCAACACTCTTGGAGATGATACCGAGCAGTCACTCCTGCCCGGTCGTACGATAATTAACAGGTCCAGCCCTCGCCACCTTCGCTCTTCGGATCACAGGATGGCTCAGCAGGATCTACGATGGAAACTGCTTGCCAGACAAGAACTCGCCCAAAAGCAGAGAGACGCCGAACAAAAGGGCCTGATCTCACCAAAAGAGAGACCAGCAGACATGGCCCCTATCTGGACCAGACTTGGGTGTTTGAAGAAGAGAAACGGGTCCAAATTGAAACGAGCGTGCCAACTCATTCACTGTGGCTCCCGTCACCTCTCCCGCATGCTTCTGAGTGCAGATCTGCCCTTGCAGAAGCTGGGAACGGACCCAAACACCCTGTCACAGATCACATTGCAGGCACCAGTGGCCTTCGCGGAGCAAAACAAGTCTTTGGGAGCTATTGCGCTTAGATGGCTCGCTGGAAAACTTTCCGAAGAGACTACCGAGAGAACGGCGATGGAGTTTTGGAGACTGGCGGCTCTGGTAGCGGAACACTGTGCTGCTTCAAAAGCATGATCCCCTACTCTTGTTTTCAGGATGTGAGTCTAATCACATGTCTCCCCGCTTGTAGGCAAGTACACGGTCGAATTGATTTATATTCATGTACAATGCTCGGCGGATTCCTGGTGGAACATCAAAGTAAAGATTTTCCATTGGCTTGTCAGTAAAGACCTGTATAGCCCATTTCCAAACCATGATTGGAAAACTCCAAGGCATGTTCGCTTCCTGATCTGAAACCATGCTGGTCGTACCAAACTGCCTCTTAAGTGGAGGTCCATCCTGGGTCTACGTATATTGAGATATCTCTTCTTCGCGATTGTAAAGAGGTACTGAAGAGACGAAGAAACACGGTGACTATTCATAACGAACCAGTCGGAGAAGCCTGAAATAAAGTCAACTTGTTTATATTTGTTTGCACTACGCCTGCCAGAACGACCCAAAATCTCACCAGTACAGTCGAAACCGCAATGTCTGCATCACACGCTGAATTCAAGATCAATCGTTTGCGGTCGGTTCCTCCTGTGAATTTTGGCTTTTTCTTCTTCGAGCCATGTCTTTGCCTCTTCCATCATTTCCTGTTCCATCTCTTCTCGTCCATCGATCCGTCGTCTTTTCCTCCCGGCGTCTACAAAAGCAGTCTCTGCGTTGAACTGTGCATGAAGTTCCGAAGCAGGATAGTCTAGATAGTGCGTAAAAATATGCTGTGGATAAATATAGCGAGGCATGTCAGATACCCTCCCAAGAAGAAATTCGGAACTGGTCCCAGGAGCGGGTTCGAGAACGAAAACTTCAAAATTATGTTGCGCCAGCCCGTTGCAGAATTCAGTCATGAATGACGGGTCGATCGGTAGGTATAAGGTCTCCCTGATCTCCTGAATCTTGACATGCATGATATATCCAATTAGCAAGCTTCCTGCTGAGGCTGAAATCATGGGAGCAAACGAGTCCGCCATGGGGGCAGATGAAGACGTCGGCAGGTTGCTCGGGGCTTCTGCCGTTGTGTGGGGCGCCGTCAGGGCGGTCGGATGATGGTGTCCTTCGGCGGTGTTGGCGTGATCGTCCCGTACCGCGGGATCTGCTTCGAAACCGCGATGCACGAACGTACCGCTCCCCCCACGGTCCATGAGATACCCAAAGAAAGCTTTAAAGACCCATCGGCGGAGGAATACTGCCGACACGCGCGTCGCTGTTTCAGGCTGCTGTAGCGACTCGGCTGACAGGGCGAACCAATCTGCCTGCCGCGTATTGGCAAAGGGTTTTCCACATCTCTTGGCGACATCAATTTCCTGCGAGGGATCCTCTGGATAGTCGCAAGGCACCAGAGGCGGAAGTTCAATCACGGGCGACGATTGCGTCATGCTGCCGGGTGGTAGAAATCCCCTGGCTCTCAGGATACCACAGAAATGCTGCCACATGGCTGATCGGTGGAACGGAAAAGCTTGATCCGTGTCTTGGTCCGGCGTATGCTCATTGTCAGGGCTCCTGAGACATTTACGGCGCTGATGATCGGTCAACTCAAATCCATACTGGAAACTGAACCGCCAAAATTCCAGGAGATCTGACCGTAGACGTTCCTTCCTCAGCGATATCGGGATGGCAGTGTCGAAGATACTATACACCCCTGTGTCAATGGTGAAAATCTCATCGCGCGGCTGGATGAACAGTCGCTTCATAACACTCTGCGCGACTTCAAGGTAGATGCGATCCTTGAAAAACGTTTTCAGCGTTGGAATTGGATAATCGATTTTTTTCAATCGTTCCCAGATGTCCTTTCGATGATCCTCTTCAAACTCTGCAAAGAGCGTTCCCTCGTTCATTTGGAGTTGCAGGAACTGTAAGTCATTTGCGGAGAGCTTTGGCGAACGGGCTTGGATCAAACCAACGGTGACCCCGTCTATCAGAGGTAGTAGATCAGTCCTTCCCCCGACCAGTGTCAGGAATGTCTGGAAAATCAGGTCCCAGTAGCAGATCATTGGCTACATGCGGCATCCATGTTAGTCCGGATCCGCCCATGCATCTCAGGGCGACGGAATATTGACGTACCTCATCGCAGTGCATGGCGGTCACTTTATGTAGCAGTCCAATCCGCATGCCTTCCCAGAGTCCCCGGATGACCAGCAAGGAATTCAGCTTTCGATGGAGGGCCGCATTCTTGAAGAAACGTCGCAGGTATCCACCTTTTTTGCTGCCCGCCACGGCCTGCAATATGACCCACCAGTTGTTGGCAGCCAATTGGTCCTTGGGTCCATCCAGGTACCCTTCGTAGTAGTTGATTCGCTCGTATATCAACCCGTCGGGTGGTCGGTTGTCGTTTGGGTATCTTTCTTTTAAAGATTGGACGAACTTTTCCTGCAGAAGATCTCTGTCAAGATCTTGACCCTCTACGATGGTATCAGAAATGTCAGCTTCGGCCGCATCGAAGGGAGCTTATAGGGCAGAGCTTGTAGGCCACTCAACGTACCTTCATCGTCAGTCACGTAGACATCCACAATCCACCACTGGTCTTCCGGCTCGAGCTTCTTCCGGGCTGCTGCAATCAAATTCTCGTGATCCAACGCACGCAGTCGGTAGTCCAGGTCTACATTCAAGCTGGGCATAATGCCATTGCCGTAGCGCGGACTCACACGACGCTCCCAGTCAGATCGGGGCACAACTACGGGCACATGGTTGTCTCTCATGAGCCGACGACAGCCTTGAATTTCCAGGGTTTTTTTCAAGCGCTGGACATTGTCACGGTCATCCATCCATGCGCGAAACCCTTTTTCGAATGTCAGGTGGGAGAGATGTACTCTGGCAGATAATTGGAAGTGACTTTGATGGTATGAGAATAACTTGCGCTCCAGATCTGCCAATTCTGATTGACTGGTAGGCACCATGGTAGGCTCGGATTGGTTCTATAAAAGTGTATGAAAGTGCACTTGGAAACCTGGAACAAGCATCTAGATACAGAGCGTCGTCGCGAGGTGACTTTATATAAGGTCTAGGGGTCTTGTCGCCGAGATGGATATTTGAGGCGACTACGATGTCCTAATAAATAGATGGCTCAAACTATGCCTCACCATACCCTTGCTCCACGAAATTGTGTCGTCTACTTATTGAGGTCAATAGATTGGAGTTATTGCCCAGCTCGAGAGGTGCACTTGAATCTAGGCGACCATCTCATTTCTGTCACGACGCTCAGCATTTAGATTGGACGCATCAGTTGTGGCAAGAAAAAGTTGACTTCCAAAGAAGACAGCAAATCACAAAGTGAGGCCGCAAGTTCACATTCACAAGACATCGGCTTCGGACACCAACCGCCTCTCCTTACTTAATATCGACGCCTCTGCACGGGGTGTAGCCTGAAAAGTCTCCATTCATCTCACTTAGAACATTTCTACCCCGCTATTCCGCTGCGACATCTCGTGCAGCCATTATGAAGCTCCCCGGAGCAAGCAGATTGGACCAGATTATCTCGGCGATCGCGTTGTCTCTATCGGTGGCGGTTCTTGTCTGTCTGTCCATTGTCTTTGTCGGCTGCACTTCACCATCTGCACCGAATGGATTGTACTTTATGAAAGTGGGATACTCTTTCACTCCGCATTGCATGAATCTTTGGCTAAAGATGAAGTAGATCGATCTTACCGACTTTCCACAATTCGACCATTTGGTCATCCGTGACTCTCCCGCCATTCCCAATTTCCATCCCCCGGATATTAGCGAAGGAGCTGGCAACAGCTTCACCGACACGGCATCCGGCGTATATGCTGGCGCGATAGACGCGTCCGCGGCGGCCACATCGGCTGCCCAAGGCGCGATCCATGCTCAGTTGACAGAGTTGAAATCACATCTATTCCAATACTATTACGTTGGGCTCTGGGGCTACTGCAAATCACGCGACGGCTCCAAGGCCGTGTGTTCGGAGCCTCGCACATCTTTCTCCTTTGATCTGTCTGCCGTGCTTGACTCTACGCCCGTCGAAATCGACAAAGTGCTGCCAAAGGTTGATGAAAAAGCCATCTCGGGCTATCAAAAGCTTTCGCATTGGATTATCAGCCTTTACATTTCTGGATTTGTCACCACCGTCTTGGTCGTGATTCTTGGGGCTCGGAGGACATTTTGGGCTCGGGGAAACAGACTCCTTGCGTTGTCTTGTATAGTAAGTCACGCTGGAACCGCCTTCATGGCAATTCTCTGACTTAAATAGGTTTCGGCATTGCTGCTCGCTGTCGCCACGGTCGGAGTCACCGTGATGTACGGTCTTTTCACCGCGGGAATCAAGACAAGCTTGCACCCATTCGGGGTCCAGGCTGGCTTGGGAGGATTAATGCTCACACTGATATGGCTAGCCGCATCCTGTTCCGTTGCCGCGTTTTTCATATGGCTCATCCAGCCCTTTTGTTGTTGTATCTAATTGTCGCACTGGTGTATTCTCGCGGGCTGCGATCCAGGTCATGGGGCTCAAACGCGTCCTGTGGCCCTTTGGTGTTTGCTCTCACAGTTAATCTGGATGCCATGGGACCTGTAGACGCTGAAGCTTTGATATTCTACTCTCGACTGATTGACATTGGTATGCTTTCCTGATGCCATCCGCAACAATTCGACGGCCCGGCTTTTGGCTGTTCCGCAAGTAGCGAGACAAGATAGTGAATCACAAATTGACTTGAATTAACCTTTCGCAAACAATCACCAAATGCTCTTGCTATTACTTGTCAGCCGAGGTCCGACTTAGTATTTCTTGTCTCCGATCGCATGTCTGCCAAGCGGGGCGGTATTTGCATCGCTGTACAGCCTCTTTATGGGTTCCAAAACGTCCCGAGCGGAGAAGACGAGGTCAACCGGGCACAGCTCTTCGCAAGTGTCTTGCGCCTCGCATGCCTGCTCAATCAAGGCGGAAACATTGTTCTGAAGCTGCCATAAGATCCGGTGGATGGAGTAGGCCGAATGATCGCCATCTGATTTATAGATGCTCCGCAGTTCGTTGGACGTCTGTTCTGCGAGGTCTTGCAGTGATTTGAACAGGGCATAGCAATCCCGATAGTACGCGTTTTGTGCCCGCTGTCGACCAAGCTCACGAATTATGTGCTCGTCACCATTCATCTTTGCACGCGGCGGAGTTTGCAAAGGATTGAAGACGTGGACTTGCTATCTCGGCACCGTGAGATTGACAAATAGCCCAGACTGGCTCTAGCAGTTAAATAAACAGTCGATAAATTGATGAAGACTGGTGAGCTGGAAAATATTCAGCGACACTGGTGATTCGAAAGTTGGTTCAACGGGTGATCTTTGGAAGGCCTCACTTTTGAGAACCTGTTTGAGTGGTGTGGGAGATTTCACCTCCCCATCTCGGGACACTGTTTCGGTGATCAACAGAATCTGCAAAAAAAATATTCACAGAGATACGGTTGTCAATGTGCTCCTTCCATTTGTCTATAAATCCAGAGATGCACCCAGGAATACCACGCAGCAGAATTTCTGCTTCTCAAATTCGCAATGAATGCAATCAACTCGTACGACCTGCCCGATCGCGTGCTCGGTGCCATCATCAGTGGTTTCGGCCTCTCTTACTTCATTGTTTTTCTTCTTCAGTTTCTCGTTTTCCACTTTCCCTCGTCGCAAAATGACATCCCCGAAGCTCTGGCGGTGATTGCGTTTGGTGTGGGTGTCATACTTTGGCACCTAGGTGTTTTCTTCCATCGGATTTTCTGCACATCCCACGAGAGGTTGAATCAGCAACAGCTAAGACTTCACGCTGGGGTGCTTTTCTTGATTTGGACGGCGGCAACTCCCACCATTGTCTTTCTCTTTCCAGCTCAGCCATGGCTACAGCTAGGATATACATCGGCTTTGGCTGTCATCGCGTTTGGAAGCCTACCGCAAGGGCTCCTTTATGATGAGAACAACCAGAAACCTTCCGACACCTCTTCCATTCATCTGGCATCGGTGATCATGTTGTCTTTGACGCCGACAATTCATGCCCTGGCCGAACCAGTAACCGGCGCTTCGCCATTGGCGATGGCTTTTGGTCGAATAGTCATCATCGGTTCCTTGTCTTTCGCCTTCTATTTTCTCGAGCCCCTGGAGCGCATCGGGCTCGCCCGGATCTGGCAGCTCAGTTTTCACGGGATGCATATGATGTTGACATACAGCCTGGTGGCGTACTCCGAAGCAGTGATGCAAGCCGCGGTCGCTCGAATGTCGTGATCTGCAGTGAACAGCCTTCCCCAACACATGTGACAGTCCTTGGCGCCAATTTCATTTCTTTGGGCAATCTTCTGTAATGCAGGAAAGGATGAGCGCTGCGATACTTGGGAAGATTCCTGCAATCATAGCTACCGTATACTCGTTTTCTCGGCTATGAATCGAATTTCAAGCCGTCATATTGACGCCTCGTCTTTGAATTTTGCAAATTAGAAAATCAGCTACAGTTACACTCATTGTTCAAAAGATTTAAGCCCTTGGAATTTGACTCTTGAAAATGAGGAATACGCTTTGCTTGCTAGACAGAAATCGATTAACTTGTTTCCTTTGGTTTGTTCCAATAATGCGGTTGGCGATGTATGTGCATTTGTACTGTACCCAGGCAGCAATAGATCTTCAAGCTCTGAGATTTGGGTACTCAGTATAGTCCCACCGATGGGTCACACTAGAGACCTGTAGGCACATGTTCCTTGTAAGCATGTCTACAGCATTCAGAAGTAAAGTCATCGTTATTCAAGTATAAGCACTGCGCCTGGAATAGAACGTCAGGCTCTTTTGCGAAACACTCAGTGCATTATCAGCCAAGACGCTGGACTTGAAATATCAATTATCCTTGCAAGTCTTGCAAGTCTTGCTATAGCCTTGAAGTGTCTAGCACAAACATATACCCAGGAGTGGATCAAAATCCTATTCTATTCGCAGAATCTGTTCAAAGTTACCTTGCAGATTCAGAAAGTGAGACATTTAGTTGTCAAATTTCCACCTTGCCTCAACTATAGCGAGATTCTCTAAACGTGTTCATTGTGAGGGTGGAATTTTGCGAGGTTGCAAAATGTAGAGCCCTAACATGCCCTTCATTCACCAGGATAATAGCAGCAACTTTATAGGTACCGCCTATTCTGGAACATATGGTATCAGTATTCTGCGGGCGGTCGTAGAAAGCGAGGGAAAGTTTCCAAGATTCAAAGGACAACTTTTTGGAACCCATCATGAAATTGTAATTGTATGGCTATGGCTCAGGTACATAAATAAAGGCTCCCGCTCACTAGACAGAGGTCAAGTCTTCTTCCGTCCGGAACCGTGACCATGATTTCCAAGCAGAATGTCCCATCCGTTCTGGTGACCGTGATCCTGCTGCTCAGCCTGATCAGGCTGTTTCTGTTGTGTCGCTTTGGATCCAAATGGTCCGCCTACAAGATCGATTATGCTGTGGGTACGACCTCTTGCATTCTATTTACTGTACTTTCTGGCCTCTTCTGGAGCGAACGATCTCTTTTGTGGAGCCAGGTACTGCTTTGGCTTTCGACAATACTACCACCCCTTCAAGTAGTAGGTCTTGCAGGTCCCTTCTGAGATGACCTCTGAGCTAAGGCGTTGCAGTTTCTTCGAATAAACTCTCAGCAGCGCCGATTTGGTGCGACACCGCGAATGCTCCTTATCCTGGCCCGAGTTCTCGTCATACTCTCTACCGTGGCCAAGCTGGCGATCGCCCTTGTTGGCAGTTTCATTCTAGACTCTGCCCATCAAGGTGGTCTCTTCATTCTCTGCGTTGACTATCTGGGAGCGACGATGTGGTATTGGTGGCTCCTTCAGCATGAAACTGAAGGCCAGACGACCTTCAGGCGGGTATTATACTATCTAGCGGCTCTGACGGTGATGTTGCTGGTAATTGCAATTGTCGGCATTCTGCGGGTATCGTGGGTAATCGCACTTGAGGTAAGTTCGCTCGTCCCTTGCGGATGGCTGTCAGAAGCTGACAAGAAATAGACCCAGCTGATCACCATTTTTATTTGGGCATCACTTGAAAGATTAGTCGTGTGAGCGGCACGGCTTCATGTAACTTGTTTGTTGGAGATATATGTCCAATGGAGGTGGGCTTTGGGGAGAAGGCTTTGATTTAGGTCGGGGCTCTCTGTAGTCTTTTGCGTGAAAGACTTCAAAGTCCGAATGGATTTTTGCAATCAAATTGTCAAGAAATATTGCTCTCGTAAATAGTAAAAATATCCGGTCTGTTGTATAATGTTCTTACTGGGCCAGCCTTTGGAGCTTTGAGGAAACTCTGGCCGCACATGTTGGGGAAATCTGGTATTAAGAGACGACTCTCTTTGGAAAAATATCATGTTCATAATTACCAGACGCATTGAGACTGCCTTCGGGGTTTCGGAATGATCAATATTCCGCAGCTTTTGGAAAGTTCTTAGAATTAAGGGAATGGAAACTATTCATTGATGAAGCTACTTTGATATAAGGCCGTTACAGAAATATCCCACAATAATTGCTGTAAATAAAAATAACATAGCGTATTCGCTATTCTCAACTGTGGACCCCGTCATTCTCCTCATTTGTTCTCGTGTTGCCAGTGACTAGACACGCCGGTGTGGTTTCGGGCGCAGTCTTCGCATCCAGTCTAGCCTCAGAGCTTCCTTGGTGGGTTCTTTGGATCGCTTTCTCTCAATGGGACCCTTCCGGTCAACGTCCGGCTGGCCGAGTAGGAGCGATAATCGTTGCCCATGGGTTTGGCTCCGAATCCGCATTCGAATGGTCATCTTTGCAGCTTTCCGGATCTTAAGCCATTGGGAAACAGCGGAAGTATCTCGCTCGCACCGAGGAGAAATGTCATCGTTTGGAGAGTCGAGAGTCTCTCCCAGAAGCATCACCCGCTCAGGATCGTTCTTGACACCTTGGCGGCTGGACGAGCGAGTTCTTGGAGCCATTACAAGGAGGAACAAGACTGTCAGATGTGGTGGAGGCTTGGGAATTTTCTTTACAGAAAGCAAAGAAGTGATAAATGTGGTGGGGATGATGAAAATCTGCTATAATTTATACCCCAGACTCAAAGGTGGAGGTTATTTGGAAAGTCACAGGAGTCAAAAATTGCGCCTCTATATGGGTACAATTTGCTACGAATGCCGTCCCTGGTGGCCCAAATATCGGAAGAGAAGGACGCAAGATAATGGGCCACATGAGATTATTCTTGCACTGATCTGCGCCTCACTATGGTAGTCTCAACTACAAAGAAATCCGGGTATGGCGCGATGTGATTTTTAGATTGACTTCGATTTCTAATTGCGCTCGAGAAGTTGGTCTGACATTGCACAGCAGATGGTCTTGGAAAAGGAAATAGCTTAAGAGGTTTCAACACAGTGTCAATTCAGCCATGACCCCAGTCATGTCGAGTCAAAAGGATGAGCAAACAGTCCAAGACATAATTTACACTCGGAATGAGCGCTTCATCAGTATGTTACCACTAACTGATCCTGTACGCATCAACTGGAGGTCCGATATTAATTTCAAGATGTTTACCCATTTACACCGGGTGGCTTTTTGAGCATGACTCAAGCCTCCTCTATCTTACTGACACTGCGTCCATGGGGTACAAATGATTCATAGAGAACATAGTTTGAGTAAATACGGTAATAAAGCAGACATGCTATTGTGTATAGTATACTGTAGAAATCTCCACCCCCAGCAAATGATTAATTTTAAACTAGATCTTGAACTCAATCAGTACCATACCGACAGTCAGATCAAGGAGGGCTCACGGAAGACAGTACCTAGCTGCCGGGAGCATAGCTTTAGATCCTAAATGGTGGCATAAATGGTCCTCGGAGCACGAAAGTGGATCCTGGGAGCAGATTGATGCTTTTCCAACGAGCTTTCTTGCATTACCAAAACTATAATAAAGTCTTAGCTAGATGTTATGAATATTATCATTCTTGTTGAGTAGTACTAGTGGAATGTCACGCACGTTATACCACAACGAATGCTTGAAAGGAACGTTCACGTCGGCACTTACCAATGCAACATATTTACACAAGAATGCAGTCTACAAGTATGATATGGATCTATGAGCTACTCTCTACTGATCTCACTGATGATCTTGCGGGCATATATAGAGCCACATCCAGGTCTTCATGTTCGTCGATCTACATTACGTCTTATCTCTCATTTTTATACAATTCGTCCAACCTTACCACTACCATGCCACCCGCTTCATCCTACCATGGCCCGGCACTGCTTAAAGAAAGGCAACGATTCCTAAAACCTGACGGGCTCCAAAAGTACCTCTGCAGATGCACTACGGATATCAACAATATTCATGGAAGACACACGCCCTTGATGCTTGCCGTCCAAGCGGAGGATCACAAGGCTGTCGATCTCCTGTTGGAGTGTGATGATCTTCGTCCGTCTTTAAGCAATTATTATGGTCAGACTGCTCTGTCGATGGCCATCACACAGGGCAGTGTCTCGATCGTCCAGCAGCTGCTTCGCCGCAAAGATATTGAGTTCTACAGCGAAGATCCGAAAGTCCAGCAACCCTTCCTGGTGGCTCTAGAATACCGACAGTGTGAAATTTTGGAAATGCTATTGGGAGATTCTCGGGCCAAGATCAATAGGAAGGATCACCGCGGCCAAACAATCCTGCATCTGGCTGTTATCTACGGAGACCTTCGCGCCGTTGCAAGCCTTGCGAGAGAGGAGCTGGTTGATGTCGATTGTCCCGATCTTCTAGGGGAGTCGCCTCTCATGTTGGCTGCGAAGCTCCATGCCTGCGATCAGCCCAACAACGTCAAGATTCACAATTGTCTGCTCTCGCGATCCAAAGTCAGGGTAAATCAGCGAGATCAAGGGGTCCATCTGTCCTTTCACATGCCGTGAAGACTTTCAATACCGAACTGATCCAGTCACTCGGCTTTTTTCGATCGGATCCCAAACACGGGGCAGCGATGGGACCACTTCACTGGCCCCGGTAGGAGCCAGAAGCCAATTCCCGACCGTCAAAATTCGATCCACTCAAACCAGCCAGCTACGGTATAGGTTACATACCTACTCCAAGCATATGCGAAGGGCAATTATGAGATAGAGCTTTAGGTCAGGCAGGCCATGACGCATTAGCAACCAGAAGATTGTTCTTAATATGTAACTTTATTCCCAACTACCAGGTGTCTAATCTATGCGCGTTCAGAGAACATGTTATGAGCAGCATATGTACACGAGCTCGCTATTAATATCAATTTTAGAGAGAGACAAGGTTCTAGAGCTAACTTGTAAGTCCGGTGAAGGATGAAGTTCCGTGGCTCGTGGTCCAGGATGTTACATCGACAGTGGGTCTTGTTCCACATGGGAATTCTAGAAAGTGATCCACGCCTTTCTAGGGTACAGGCTGGCATCTGATTGGCTGTAAACGGTGGGGCCTGTGGGTCATAATGGGGGACACGGGATTCTCCGCATCAAAGTAATGCCTTAGGAAGCGCCTAACCAATCAAGTTTGTTGGAAACAGGAGCCCAAACGGGTCCGTGGTAATGTGGCCGGAAAGCTCGATTTGCAAGAGCAGGGCCCGCACATCAGCCAAAGTCTTGCCGGGGTACTTACCAGGGTACTTAGAAAGGTACTCGTGAACCCTCAGGTTTTGCCCTGCCACGCGCGTCAATTGCAGAGAGGTGAGCAAGAGAGTATTTTACTATGTTCGTAGTCATTTGTTGACCTCATGATCGAGAATTTGCCAGTGGCCAAGGTAATCGTCCTGAGTAGGGTGCATAACTCAGATGAGGGGTGGAGAGTGGGACGGCGAGATCGAAATGATCGGCCGGCACCTTAAACCTTATTTGGCACGTGGGTTGCGTCGATCGAAACCAGCTGGTCCAAGAACGGCTCCGTTCCACACCGGAGATCAATTGGGCAATGACCAGGATACCGTGAACTTTTGAGAGGCAGCATGTAGTCAGCGATAGAGAGCAGTACTGTAATACGTGGGAAAGTACCGACTGAGAACCGACTGAGACGTCAGATCTCCTTACAATGTGATGATCTGGACGGTCGTCAATGAGGCGTTCGCCCGCTCCTTATTTCTCTGCCATTAACAGTCCCTTGACGGCTGTTAGCCTAGCTCCCTGTATGTCGCGGATCCTTTTTTTTAGCCATGAAGGTCTTTGCTTCCGCTACCTCCTTAGCTTGAGATGCATACGCAACGCTAGATACCCGCACTGCGCCTGCCTAGGGAGGATGCCTGAAATTTCTAAGGTCTTCTCTCATCAAGTCAGCTGGCCAAATTATTGCCTCTTTTGCGACGCATCGCAGCAAGCATGTCGCACAAGAGCGGCGCCCGCTCTCCTTCAACCCTGGTCCCAAGGTCCACTCTTTTCAAGCATCGTGCTTGATATTACAGTACCCATTGGGTTCTCAGACGGATGTGAACAAGAATAACGCGCGTTGCGGAAGCTTTTTACATCAATGCACGATAATGATTGCAGTAGTACTCATAATTGATGTGCATGTCGAATGCGTTCAGCTCTCTTTGAATGCTGTATTGTAATACATCTGTCGCAACTTGCAGTGCAACACAATTCCATTGCCATAGCAATCATACCCATGGATTCCACTTCATCAATTCTGGTAACCAGTCGCCAATGTAACCCACCGCAAGAAATGGAGAGTCTGGATGATCGTTTGGCGGAACCAAGGGCAGGTCCCCCTGGCAACATGAGGCCAACCACGGATCTATGGAACGTACGTCTTCTGACCAAAGATTTTCAAGTCACTTTTCCAATGCCCTCCCAAACCAGTGGCCATTCCTATGAATTTGCGCAGGGGGTTTCTGTGAAGAGACCTAGGCGACTTGACATAAAAGGCGCGAGATTTCCGGCCCAAAAAAAATCAGGACTTTCCTCCTCACACTCCCGTGTGTCATTGTTTCCATCTCTTGTCTGCAGGCTTGAGGGTTTCCGTGGCCACGGGTCCGCAGTACAAGCTCTGCGTCACCAAACATGCTTCGCAGGACGGGCTCTGCGATACCAACTGTTCCCCGCAGGACGGGCTCTGCGTTATCAACTGTTCCCCGCAGGACGGGCTCTGCGATATCAACTGTTCCTCGCAGGACGGGCTCTGCGTTATCAACTGTTCCTCGCAGGACGGGCTCTGCGATACCAAGTTCTCTGCAGGAGACCGCTGCATTACCAAGTTCTCTACAGGAGACCGCTGCATTACCAAGTTCTCTGCAGGAGACCGCTGCATTACCAAGTTCTCTGCAGGAGACCGCTGCATCACCAAGTTCTCTGCAGGAGACCGCTGCATCACCAAGTTCTCCGCAGGGGGAAGCTGCGACACCAAGGAACTCTAGCGAAGTGCAGGCACCTCTACGTGGTGCTAGGGACCAGTATTCAACTCTCGCTCTGCAGTTGAAGAAGCCAAGACCTGCTCCAACATCGATAGTTCAATTTTGTAGGCCCGGGCCACGGGCGAAGAGACTGGCAGTAGGACCAGGAGAGCGCATTGAGAGCCTATTTTCACTCCAAGATAGCGTTGTATAGTGAATGGATAAACCCAGCATTTTGCTGTTACCGAATTCGCCGTGCATTGTAGTATCATGTCCAGGATTTGATCTCACAGGATGTATACACAACTAGATGATGTATACACACACGTCCAGGCTGGTCGGCTCGGTCAAAGACCATCACGCGGCAAGAGCGCATTGTTCATGTCTGTCTCACAGGTCAGGAAAACCGAGATGACTGTTGAGGTTGGCGTTGGTGGTGACGGGTAGATGCGGTGATCCATAGTCCGGTGGCAACCAGCCTGTAAAGTTGATAGTTGACTGAGCGTCTTGAACCGTTGAATGAGCCTGCGTAAACGGTTGACCCAGTGGTGAACATTGGAGCCTGCTTTGATAAACAATGGAGCATGTTTTCATAAAATAAACAGTTGAATGAGCGTGCGTAAATAGTTGAGCCTGCTCTGATAAACAGTTGACCGGCTTTCTAAACAGTTGAGCCTGCTCTGGTGAACAGTTGAGCTTGATTTTATAAACAGTTGACCCAGTGTTGGTAAACAGTTGAATGACTACTCGTAACAAGTTGAATGAGCATTTGTAAACAGTTGACTGAGCGTGCGTAAACAGTTGAGCCTGCTCTGGTAAACAGTTGAGGCTGTTTTCATCAACAGTTGAATGAGCATTTGCAAACAGTTGAATGAGCATTTGTAAACAGTTGAATGAGCATTTGTAAACAGTTGAATGAGCATTTGTAAACAGTTGACTGAGCGTGCGTGAACAGTCGACCGGCATTCTTGAACAGTTGACCGGCTTTCTAAACAGGTGAGCCTGATGTAATAAACAATTGAATGACCATTCGTAAACAGTTGAGCCTATTCTCGTCAACAGTTGACCGACTGTCTAAACAGTTGAGCCGGCTGTTCAAACGGTTACCCGGCTTCATCAACACTTAAACGGCTTAATCAACAGTTGACTGGCTTTTCAACACTTGAAATGCTGTGCAAACACTTGAATGAGCGTTGGTAAATAATCGAGCACGACTTCATGAACGGTGACCAGCTCAGAAACGGTGACCAGCTTAGAAATGGTGACTAGCTTGAAACGATGACTAGCTTGAAACGGTGACCACCTTAGTAACGATGACCAGCTTAGAAACGGTGATCAGCCTGGAAATTAGTGACCAGCACTGGAAACAATTTGTCGATGATGACAGTGTCGACGCGTCGATGAGCAGACCGTCAATCCTGAGTCTGGACGCGTTGTTGTCAAACGGAGCGAGGCGCTCAGGCGGTGTGTCATCCCTCGCGCACGCTCCATCCTATTTGGAAGATCCCACCCACAGTACTGTATTTGTCTTATAGGCCAACAGCCGTTGTCAAGTCCTGCTTGACAAGTAAATGACTTGTGGCATATGGCCGATAATTATATTTCATACAGAAAGCTAGATTATGTCAAAAATCCTTATAATCTACACCAAGAATCCACTCGGCTCAAACTTCCCGATATATATATATACCATATGTGTACAATATATGACACCTCCTTCAATGAATCAACAACATTTTTTTGAACTACGTATGCTATTTTATGACATCCAAATCGCACGCCTGACTAAAAATTCTAGCGGTCTCATAAAAATATGACCAATGAAGTCTACACCAGTCTCCTCTGGGTACGAATGCGACACATCATGAGACAATTGGCATTAACTTAATTCAAAGTCGACCACGTATGATACAAACATAAAGCTAATGCTCGACAACCCGACCGGCTACAAACCTGAGTCCCACATCGCTACGCGTGAGCCCTAGATCCGATGAAATGACACCATTCACGTCTTTTGTGGACGGTCACGTTGCGAGCTTTCCCTGTCCCACACAATAACAAGGCTACCATAATACGACCGTCGAACAACATGATATACTGCACGTGTCTCATTAAAAGTAGTCATCAGTCTACGAAAAGGATATATCATCAAGGTCTTATCAGGGCAACTACGTAGGCGGAAGCAACATGCAGGAAGAAAGCATAATCATCTGCATTACTGGCCTAGAATTTGCCCAGTATGACGAGCACTCGTCTTCAAACTAGATGAAAGCATCTGAAAATACTACGAAAGAACCTCAAGTCGCTCTTCATCAGTCAGCAGCTCACGCGGAACAGAAGATGCGCCTAAAAAGGCAAGTCAACGACTCGTGGTGATCATGCACTGCGAGACATCAGCGACGCAGCGACGCACAGCTGTGTATCTGATGAGACATGAACTGTGCGATAGCTGAGATGTGTGATTGATGAGGTGGCCAACAAGCGTTGTGTCACGACGCATCACCCACGTTCAGCACGATGGCATTCTCGAGGACAAAGCCAGCAGAGCGTGCTATGTTTGGAAAAGGAGCTAACAAGCGCGCTGAGAAGGGCCCAGAGCGAGCAAAGATGACATTCACGCAGCCATGCAGGAATGTACGCAACGGCGCAGATGATACAGAAACTCAACAGGACGATGAAACGTAGAGACACCGAGCTTGCATATCGTACCTCACCATCCTGGCGCAACTCTCGCTGCTGTACCAGAATGACAGGCAATTGAGCTAGATGTCCAGCACCAATAAGCAAGACTCCTCCTTTGTTCTGCCACGGCAGTTCGACGGGTAGCCTTACACAATTATGGCTTCCTCTTCGTAGATCCCCACACCCACCAGAGTGAAATCCTGGGTGAAACTGATATCACCGAGTACAGAATTCTCTGAATTTTTCGATTCGCCAATAAAATGGGCATGGATTTTTGGAAGCTCAAATCGACTTCTCTTCAGCAACATCGGGGCCAGGGCCATATATCACGTGATCGGATGGCAGGGGGTGTTTGGAAACCATGGTGCCATTCGGGCCAGCAACCGACAAGAATCGCGAGAGATCCATTTCATTTGAACGGCTCGAGCAGGACCGTAATTTGGTCGAAACTGCGAGAGACGGCGCCAATTTATAACACCTTGCATGAGATCTCCCAGACTTCAGGACGACTGATATGATCAAGAAAAGGCTTTCTGCAGTGCTGAGAACTAAAAGACTGTATGCAAGCTTCTCGACTGAGAACACCGGCGGTGGCTACGTGAATGATTTGTCAATCGGGCCAGAGTTGCCAAGCTTGCAGACTGCACTGCATGGCTGGGCAGATGTGGCTTCATGTCACCCACATTTGGACATGATCGCTCCACCGACAAACCATCGAGTACCAGCGGGCGCAATGTCATACGTGCCGCTTGGTAATCACGTCCAATCAGCTCTTGAACAGAGTCCATCCATCAAGATTCTCATTGCATAAAATGAATCCCTGTGTTGAACCTCCACTCATGTTCCGAGTATCGTCGACTCTCGACCGAGAAGGTTTGTCCAAGCATGGGGATGGCAACTGCTAGCGTGTCATCGCAAATGCCAAGTGGATCAGGCTGGAATGCATATTCGCTCGACTGCAGTGTCCGTGGAAATCGTTGGAAGTCGTAGACAGGGCTTTGCGGACAAAAAAGACACGTTCAACAGATGAGCTACTTACAGTGAGCAAGAATGTCGAATGGTGTCAGCGCTGGCACGTCATGGATGGAAACACAGCGTCGCGTCTCCGAAGCGAGAACGGTTGGCATTGGCGTGCCCGTCCGTTGGCAAGAAGCTGCTATTGATCCAACCCGGCGGCAAAGGCGGTGAGGTCGTCCCAGACGCGCGGTGCAGTATTGTTTACGCGACGTCCTGCGGAGTTGGTCCGCACATGACAGTGGCCTTGTCAGAAAAGATTCTCATTCACAACTCTTCATGTTCGAGTGCCTAATGCTGGGCTTGTTCATGTGATGCTCGGTTGACAATACAGACCACGCTTTGGCGTGCCTCTGCCGGTCTCCAACTTTCAACTCAACCAATGCTTGCTCTAGTCAACTCTTCAAGATCGCTTCGGACCTCTTTCCTTGGCTGATATCACAGCTGGGACTGATTGAGATGGCCATTGGGCATACCCCGAGCATATGTATCTGATCTCCACTCAACTATTGGCCGACTCCCACCAACACCCACGAGCCAACACCCACAAGACCGACTCCCACAAGACCGACTCTAAGACTGACCAAGTCCAGCCATGGCACTGATTTGAGCCAGACAACCGTGGCGGTCAAGCCCTTCGTGAGCATGTTGCTCAGCATGCCCTCTCATTTGGGAAACTGGCAACGTGTACTTGGAAATGAACGTATATCCGGAATATGGCCTGGAAAGTGACCCATTCATTGCTGGACTTGAAAGCAGACAATGTTCATGATGTTCCCCGTCTCACGAGACCCGCCTTGGATCCCCACCTCAGTCAACGTGACGAAGGCTGCTTATATTGGGTAGCGGGAAATCCAAAGGCACCAGGAGTGCATGGCATATACATTCGTCGCCATTGATCATCCGGCAACCCATGTGTACTGTGAGGGCGGTATTCGTGTTTGTCATCTTTGCTGGAGGTATCACATTGGCGAGGAATATTTGGCGTCAAGATGTGACGTTGAAACGAAAGGGGGAATGCCATTCAATCGTAATTGATTGCATGCGGCCGAGCCCGCGTGCAATGTCGAGACGACATACCGTCACACGGTATGCTCAACTGAGGGGCCTGTCCTTCTCGCTATACTGGGTTGGTCGCACTACCGGGACCATCTAGGACATTGCTTGATCAATCGTTCTGTAGTCGCGCCCAGCTCCGAGTAGGCTGATGCCAAGCACCTTCGTCTGGTACTGCTCATCCACGTCGGTTCAGGGTGTTCGTGGGATGAGAGGCGGGTCGTCGGATCAATTCGAGCGTTTGCACCATGTGCCCGAGATGTTCCACACTTGACAAGTCATCCTTCAGAAGATGTTAGTATACATTCGTCGAAAAGGGTTCACTCACAATTTATCATCCTCGACCTCAGAACTCTTCAGCACATATAGTGTGCCACGATAGCTCTTTGTCCATGGTGGAGTGTGTTTGTAGACTTGTCTGGCACACTGATTCAATTCTCAACTCTTGCGAGACATTGGCGGCGTGTGCATTGATACAAGATGGGCTGCAAGGTGGCAGTCTATTGTAGCCTGAAGCATGCATCATTCGCTCGATGTGTGCCGTCCCACTGGTCACGGTATTCGTGACTGGATCAGAGAAACGATCCCTGACTCACCTTTCCAGCTACCGGGCTGACAGCCGAACCACCCCTGTAGTATTGACTTGAGGTGGGTGATGGATTGGGCTGGTCGCAAGTTCGGTGTTTGGCGCAGTCTTCAATTGTATTGGGCTGGCCGGGACATAGCTGCAAAGGAAGAATCGCTCGTGTTGTCATGATGAGAAAGAGACGCAAATTCGGTCGGCTTGGTGGCTAGGCTCATAGGTGTCATCCACGCGGGATATAATGATGCGGTTGAGACTCGTGACCCTGGCCCTAGCTGATGGACACGAGCGATGGCGAAACATCAACGGGCAACGGAGCTGAATGTCTTCATCGGTCGGGGGAGAGGTGTATAATCTGTGTCAGTAAATAACGAGCACCGGCACCAAAGATCAAAGGCGAGGAACTTATCTTGGGTATTAGGGATCTGTGAAAACAGGAAGGGCCCTTCAGCAAATGATGCAATGCTCAATTTGCGGGCTCGCAGACGCATGTCGTTCCCATCTCTCTCGCGGCGGTGACGAGCGCTGTATTAAAGAATCTCCCCACAACCGATTCTGGTACACCACGGAAAATGGTTCGAATGATTTTTCTGCCCAATGGCAGCATCCAGTCGTGAAGGGCGACATGTGCACGGCGGATGAGGATTTTCGATGCGCTGTGGAGGCAGAAAACTGGCAAACTACCAATGGAGATGCCTCGCGCAGTTGTCAGAGGCAGGATGGAACGCAAGGCTTGGTTGATTGTGACGTGAAGCATTTTGTCTCAGAAGTTGAGTAACAGTCGCTTCACTCACTTGTCGCATGACTGCAGGGAGTTGGCACTCTCGCTGTTTCTTCGACAGAATCACTGTCGTCGAAAGCGATGGCTCTCTTTCCTCTGGTGACGAAGACCACCACCAAATTCGACAGGAGCAAGAAGAGAATAGCAGAAAGCAACAAACCTTGTGGCAGGTCTGTATGCTCCACTGGCATCTTCTTGAACTGGTCCTTGGCGATCGACGCCCGTTCCGAGAAGCAATATTTGTCCACCCACCGGATGGACCTCCGGCATCCTTCTAACTCGCACCCTCCGTAGGCGAGGAAGCCGGTCCGGCCGGGAAAGGGTCCCTCGATACCTAAGCTTATCAGACCAAGGCTTCATCACCTTCCCATGCATCGTGTGCTCTCGGTCGGTATTGGTCGCATGACTGCCTCACCTTCCCAAGGATGTGGAGCAAGAGATGGTGTTCTCGACTAGGACTACGATTCGGTCGGTATCAGTGGGTAAGGCGAAAGAGTGAAGTGATCGGGCAATCCTGATTCACGTCGACTTCCACACTTCGAAACGGTATCCAAAGCGAGATACATCGCCTCATGGCAAAGGTGGGCGACGATGCAAGACGCGTGTGAGGCTCGTTCAGCTGTACATACGTCATGTCTCGCAGCGTCTTGGCTAGTAGCCCTGAAAGATAGTCAGCATGTGCTTGATAATATGAGGGTTCACTCACGCTCTTTCTATCCGCTCTCACCTCGTGCCAACGACGTATGACACTGCTAAGACAGCGCATCATCCGTCTTGCGGTTCCATGAGTGTTCGGTCCGTGTGCCCTTCAGCCAAGATCATGGCTGACGATCGGTGAGTGGTCATGAGGCAGAAGTACCAAGCAGGCGTACCCATTGCGACGAATGTCCAGCCGCAGGAGACCTGTGGCCGCGATGGCGTGCACAAGTAGCCATGCTTGAGACATTATCAGAACATCGAGCCATTCAGAATACTGTAACGGCAACATGTGCACCGGAAGGGCTCGAGGATGGCGGTGTTCGATATTCAGAGATCTCGCTGTTGATCTTGCCGATGATCTCGCTGGAGGCACTGTTTGACAAGCACATGACAGCAGTGGAACCGAACTTGGTCTCATGAGGATTTCTTTTCGGTGTGACTGGCAGGTAGTTGAATAACCTTGGAGTCCTGACTTGGGGCTATTGTTCAGACCTGGCTGGTCGTAAGATTGGGCGTTTCAGCACTGGCCAACGGGTATGGGGCTGACACGGGACTTACCTGCAGGATGCCTCACTTGCAATCTTGTGGTCAAGAAGCTAGTCAGTAGTCACATTGTTAGCTCCACTCGACAAGGCACATGAATACAGCACTCACCAAAGGATTGTCGCCAGTCAAGGCTCAGGCTCTGGCCTGCAGGCACGAAGACGGGTACAGTGGAATGAACCACCAAGGGGTAGAGAGAGGCAGGTGATTTGGTGGCTTGAGTGGCCACCGTGGGTGTCAGTAATAGCAAGCCTTTGGGTTTAAAGAGGAGGGACTTATAATCTGCTGCAGGAAGGCACCTTGGTTTTGGCTAGACGGAATCCGTCAGATGCAGTCAGGAAGAGAATTGTTTCGGCAGAGAACCGAGGGAAGAGCCCATATTTATAGGTCTTTTGACTGGTCTTGTTACCGCCTGCTTTGTATTGCCGCGGTGAAGTCTTTTTGATCTGTCACTTTTTGGGGGGGGATTGTCTTCGGGGGCATCGAAGTTGCCTGTGCAAAGCCAGGCCTGTTGAACCTCGTCTTACTGAGGTGACGGGCTCGGGAAAAGTCAACAGGCAGGTGAACAGTGAATGGTCATGGCCAAGGTGAATCGTACAATCGAGTGATTTCCTGAAATTTCAAAATAATAATTCAAAATAATAATAATTTGCAAATTTCTTTTTTTTTAATCTTTTATTTAATTATTATTTGTCTGAAGAGCGTTGATCAACGTTGAACCTTGTCTCAACGACCGTACTTTCAACGATGGGCAGCGATTAACGCTCGAATGCGACAGCATGCGCTTTTGTCACCATTATTTGAACTTCAGTATTGGCTGTTGATTCAGAACAGAGGCCGACGATCATGCTGTGCGTTGAGCAAGTCGCCTCACTTGTTGATGATCGAACTTTCAGGGTCTAACCCATCGTCCACTCAAAAGATTTCCACTGAGTGTACTGCAGCCATGCTACATCGATTGTAGTGCTACGGCTCTTATTTTTACCCGCCCGGGGCAACACACATCGATTGACACCACAAGCCAGTCTTCGGCTAATGCCAGCTGTCGAATACAGAGAGTCTCGAATACTGGGTCCGTGGAACTACTGAGCTGAATGATCAAGGGGCGCCCAATGACTATAATTCTATACCTGATATTCGTCTTTTCGGGACTGATATTTCCAGAATGTAGAAATGAGATTTTCACAAGACAGTATCCATTGGTACAGACTTGGCGATCGAAAACTAGAGTCGTTTTGAATGTATCAAGACAAGGAAACACAGCCCGTCTGAATTCCAAAAGCGCTAGGAACGCAAATATTTCCCAGGTGCATTCAAAAGCTTTCTGAAGTGCAAGGCCTCCCCCACATAGAAAATCGAGCTGTTAGAATCCCCAGCAAATCTAAGCCATTGCAGATTCTCGTATTTCATGTTCGTGTTGGCACCATGTTTGTGTTGGCACGAAGAAGTGACTGCAGGTATATTGGAGACTGCGACAAAGCCTCGCCAGCACAGGCAATTTCGAAAAGGGGACAGATCAAGAAGGAGGGCGTTTCACAGAGACTCATAGCCACTTGATGCTGGGTGAGGGAAATTTGATAGCGTATGGTCACTCCTATTTCCAGCAGCCACTGAAGGGACTGGTCAGGCAAAGTGACGAATGCCCAAGAGAGTTTCTGCAAATCACACGTCTCCAAGTCGGTCCATTGATCCCCGTATAAATTTTCGTCGAGCTTCGATTCATAGGAAGGAAAGTATGCCTAGAGGTATAGATGAGATGATGTTCGCGGAGATTGGCTCCGGCGACTTACGCAGCTGAAACATATGGATTTCTCCACAGCCAGGTCCAGTGGAGGCAGTTTCACATAATCATAGGTTTTTGTAGTCATTGCAGCGGTGATTTTTGAGATCAAAGGATAAGGGAAAAGGACAATACATTTATAGTTTTGAGTGACAAGACAAAATTGACGAGGAAGTACGGCCCAGCGCGCAACTGAAGATGGATACTTGAACTCGGAATCAGTCCCAGACCCCTGAAGACCTATCCCATCTTCGGCAAGATCGGCTTTAGGATCATCTGGACCGGTCCTGGGAGCTATTATGCTCCTGGGGCTCTTGAGTCATTAGGGCCAGACTGAACTTTTCGGGGATCTAGGTGAGGTGTGCTTGGGACAGGCACTTGAGTTTCACGCGCAGACTTGTGGCCCAGTGGGCATTTGTTGATAGACCTGGTCCTGGGAGCTCTTTGAACGATCCCGCGAGTGACAGAACTCAATGCCACATTGGCGCACATCATGGAAGAACATTCGGCCCGGACGCGAGGTCGTGGGTGGAGAAACACATAAATACATGCACCCCGTCCTACTTTTTGCATATCTTCTGGGCGGAATATCTACCAATACATTCTCCCACCCAGTGGTCCCACATTTCCTGACACCAAAATCCAAGTGCTTGTGCTGTCATTTGGAAATGTCGATGAATTTTACCTCGAACAATCGTTACCTCCAGGTGGGAGTCAACCTTGGTAACATTTTTACATGTGCCGAACCGAGCTCAGTCACTCATTCCGAGGATACAACCGTTTCCAAAGTGAGGGGTGGCATCGATGCTGCTACCAGACTAGCTCTGGACCAGGCTCTCGTCAAAGCTCAAAGATACCTAAACATGATTCAGCACGACGTATCTCAGCATACGCAAGTTGTTCGAGTTGTGGAACAGCTCGGAAGTCTTCTTTTGAACCTCAAATCCCTCCAGCCTGACCAATGGGGCTCTTTAGACCGCGGGGTCACATTCAATGTTCTTTCACTCTTGTATTGCTGTATCATGGAATGCTACGAGCTCTTATCTACTCCGCTAGCAATCTCGTCGCCATACGATGGACTTATCGCCTGCCATTTGGCGCTTCAATGCGTATATGGCGCAGCCCTGATGTATGTTTTAGATTTACTATTTGACACTTGAAGTATGATTCATCTAACCACATCGGCCTTCTAGGGACTTTGATGACAGAAGTTCACAGCTGCAAAAGGTCACGGAGGCCATGGAGCAATTGGGCAACAAAAGATCCAAGTATCGGAACCAAGCGGAGCAGCCCGGGCCGGCTATATACCATTCTCAAGCGGTTCTTGATGTCTTGAGGAGGAACTGTGGGCCCCATTATGCGACGAGTTCTGGGGGCATGCATGTGAGCTTCGGCGGAGAAAATCATGGTACCCAAATCTTTGAGTATCATGGCAGCATGGGACCTCTCAAGTTCCCACTTGAGAACATGCGTGTTAGGACAACCCTCTGAGGGTGTTCTGATATGATAAGAATACGAGTGAAGAATGTGAGATGTGCCTGATATGAGTATGATGATATTCAGACTAATCGCTGGTCCTCCTCCGAGGATCCAGCCCCTCCTTTGAGGTGATGTCTGCTTACGTACGTAAGCAGACAAGCGATGTGATGTATCGATTGGCACTTCGGTGGTGCATTAGCACCTCTTCCGCATTCCCTATACATGGTTGTACGGTTGGCGTAACAGCCATGTTTTAATTTTCGGGGATCCAATGGGAATGATTCCTCGCGCTACGTCTTGTATAGAATCGATTTTACCTTTTGTTAATATTGATCCTTCATGTAAAAGACACGCTCCTCATCAACAGATACGTGATCCCCTCACAGCTCGCCTCAGAATTCAGGAACAACAGTGCGCTTTCGGAGATCTAGGTGAGGTATTCTTGAAGGCACGTCGTTTCACGTGCAGGGCTTCTGGCCCGAGCGCGTTACGAGATGACTGCTCCTGGGATCCCACCCAGTGATCCCGCAAAAGACTGAATCGGAAATGGGAATGCAATCTGTGATCCCACGAGCCAAGTTGCTCCTGGAGCTCTTAAGCGAAATCCTGGAGCCGTTACCCCTGATCCCGGTGTCGAGACTCTGCTTTCAGGGACCTAGATAGAAGTCCACAGCAACTGAGACCCTCCGAATCCATGCAAGCCTTAGCTACTTCGAATATTTGTTGCGTGTCTACGTAGCAGCTTTAGGAGTCACCGGTACACTCTCAGGCCCAAAGGTGAGGGCCTTGGGCAACCCAGATAATACGGCTCGATGTATGATCTGCTCGGTGTTTGAATATAAGTGGCCAAGTTGCCTCCGGGGTTTTAGTTCTATGAAGACCCCGGGAAGCGCTTTACAATCTCTAGTAAAGCAATTTTGGTGCATCCCACTCTCTTCCAAGCAATCAACATGGTTCACGTGCATGGTATGTCAGTCAAAAGCTACAGTACTCTGTTTAGTTACTAATGTGCGTAGATCGAGAGTGCGCGGAAGCGTACGTTCAATTGTTCGATGCTATGGCATTTCCCAAGAAGCTTGTGGAAAACTGGCGCGTGGTCGTGGCAACCTTGAAGGGGTTCAATATGCACGAACTGCTGCATCGAGACCCGGAAGATCCACCGGACTACACCCTGACTGTACGGAAGGAGGACTATCGCAACATCTGTCGGGATATCAAGAGATACCGGAAGAAAGTAAAGAGCGGGAAGCTGCATGGTAACGCGAGGAAAGTTGAAGCCGGTGCATTATTCGCACGATATGCGAGATCGATGAATGACCTAGAAAGCTGGACAGGTATGTGTAACGCGCAACTTCCTTAATGCGGGAGACTAACCGCAGCAGGGTACCATTTTCCGTGTGGGTCAGAGAACACGAATCAGTCGAAGGCGAAGAAGTGAAGCTTCATTAAAGGTTGACTACACGGGGAGATTGTTGACTACGATGGACTAATACACGACTCATTGTTACGCTTTCTAATAGGACCTTGGAATGTTTATAAAAAAAAAAACCTTTGCAACACTTTTTAACACAGTACAGGCCAGTGAAGAAGAAGCGTGGAATGTATATGCCCTGAAGCTGAAATGAAGAAATAATAATGAATTACATATTTCAAAATTGAATATTTCTCATTCAATTCCAATTTGTCCTCAAGAGTGTTGATCAACGATTAACCTGGTCTCAACGACCGCATTTTGAACATTTGAAACGGTGTGATTTGCGAAAATCTGCACCGGCGCGCCTCACTCGTTGATGATCGAATTTTCAGGGTCTAATCCATCGCCCACTCAAGATTTTTACTGAGTGTACTGTAGCTATACCACATTCACTGTAGTACTAAGGACTTTACTTCAACTTTACCGGGACGACTCACATCGATCATTGACAGAATGAACCGGACGTGAGCCGATGCTCATTGTCGCATACAGTGAGTCTCTACCACTGGAGCCCTAGAAATATTGAGTTGAATGGTCAAAGGGTGCCCAATGAGCATAGTGCTATACCTAAAAGCTGTCTATACTGCCTTTCCGAACTGATGTTATTATGAGTATTTGAAATGGAAAAGAAAGATTGGTTTAAATTTGAATCATTGCCAAGGATGAATGCTGATCTAACTCCAGCAGCGCAAAAATGACTAGCCACAGCAGCAGCATCCCACAATTTGTCAGAAATATGTTCTTTCAATCCGTCTTTCCACGGCCACCCGGTAGCTTAGCTCTCGATATATATGCCGTACGTTTCTCAGGGGGCAATCTGGGGTTAAGTCAGTCATCTTTGCAACGTGCGAGAAACGCTCTCTTCGCATTATCAGGAGACAAATGCATGTCGTACTGCTCATGCTTGGAAGTCGCACGAATTAGAGGAAAAAATGGCCTGATTGGCCGAGTGGCTCTCACTGATACTCTCCACGAAGTGTAGTGATTTGTCCCGAGGTCTTCATCAATGACGTTCCAGTGAAGACGGACGTTTGCAGGCGCACCAGGCTCGGAGACCTGCATTTGATTCAAGGTACCGGTGATCTGGGAGTAGTCTAGCCAAAGATTATCGATAGGACTGCAAATACCGTTTTCGACGTTGAACTCTTCCGAGAAGCGGACACTGCCAGCAAATATCCCTAAGAGATCACCTTCACAGACCGGGACGATAGAACAGACGGACAGTGCCATAATGCCTTGAGGCACGAGAAAGACGAATAAGGACTTGTCTTGCTCAAATTCGGGGACCAAAAACTGGTGATTATGGGATTCGAGTAAAAATTCTGCAGGAAGTGCGTGCCGATATTGGTTCTGGAAGCTCTCTTGTTCCTTGATTGAAGCCCAATTATTTCCAGCATTGTTCCAAGAGGACTTGGATACTTCCAATCGCTCCATGACACGGGGAGATTCAAGGTCGCAGAAGCGCGCCATATCACCTCGTTCAAGTCTGAGAACACGTGTCTCCAGCTGCTCGATAAAAGGTCTATACTGAGTCTCCCACGACATGATTGTATCCACAAGCGAGATTTCTGCTGTTTTGGGGTACCCCTTGCAATAGCTGTCAAACTCCTTGGTGCGGTAGTAGAGGACTTTTTCAATACCCGCTTCGCGCATTTGGAAGAGGGCTTTCCAGAAAATACGGTGCTGTCGTTGGTTCTCAGCTCCTAACCCGTATCCAGCAACCGCCATGAAATTCTTCGTTGCAGCCTTTTCTGCCATGGTGAATCCATCCGCAGGCCCCTTCGCGGACGGCAGTGTTGCTTCATCAACCAGCGCAGCACCTTTGAGGATGATTTTCCAAAAGATGGTCTCGTTGCACCGGCTCTGAACACTTCGGCCCATTGTGAGAGCAGTGTCCTTTCGAACCGTTCTGACGGCCTTTTCATAATCATATTCCGCGATCTCATCAACGTAGTTCCTGATCTTGATAGGGTCAATCCTCGTTTGCGATCAGTTCGTTTGATGCTCATATCGAGCTGTTGCCGAGTTCACCCTTAGACATTCGAATAATACCGACGCCAATGCTTTTACCGTATAGGCGGAGTCTGACTGATAGGACGGAAAATCGCTGACGGGTAAAGCAACTGGAGGTTCAGCCACAGGGTGTTCACTACACTGCCCCTGAAGTACGGGTGACAAATAAGCCTTCTCGTAGTTCGTGGTGTAGGCTTCAACAAGCTGATGATTTTCCTCTTGATCGACACTGTACGAAATCGGAGCCTGGAAGCCGGCTATTGCGGGATCCCTGTCAAATGTGTGGAAAGTGGTGGAAATGTCACCGCTCTCTTTAAATCGCCCAGCAGTCTTTTGCTTGGCAGTTTTTGAACTTTGCTTTTTTGCATTCGCTGCGCCTGTTTGAATGGCGTACTTTCTTTTCCGCGGTTGCAAAGGCCGATGGATTCCAAGGCCTTGGTTCGATGTTGCCGCAGGCTTCTGATTAACAGAGCTGCTACTTCGAAGTCGTGACTCTTCCAGATTGCCCCTAGCGGTGGCTCTATGAGCCCGGAGGACTTATTGAGAATTAGCACGAATACATAAGTATTTTGAAGGACAACTTACCGTAGTCGTCAAACTGAGAAATGAAAGAATCAATGTAGCCTTCATCATCAATACCACATGCTGCCAATGCATCCCGCAAAGCCTGGGCCAGGAAGCTTCGAGTATTCTCGTCCATGACTTATGGAGATTGAGGAAGGGTCAAGCAAGGTCGTGATATTTCTTTCTCCGCGAGTGGATTGGCCCGTCTCTTGTTGCTGTCCTGTTCGACTGCTTGAAACGGAGTCCTGGGTTCAAACGCAATCCGAACGAGCAGAGAAGCAGTGGGCAAAAACACAAGTTCCTCTCCAAGGCATCAATATTCCACCGAGCATTAGTGCCCACGACAGACCGTGTTGCGCTACTATTCGAAGTATGGAATAGTCTTCGAAGTCTGTTTTGCACCGGAGAGGACTATGTTGGATCGCTACGCAGAACATTTTCAAAGGCGGATCGCCTAGAAAGGGGTTTTAAAGCGAAACGACTCAAGGAAAAGGTGAGTTGTTCAACGGACGGATGATGAAATCAATAGTGGTGAAACGCATTAAACGCAGAGCTGATTGAACGGTGACCAATGGGCCACGATCGTCACACGTTACGCTTACCTGGCTTAAATCCTTTCGTCAACTCGAAGGTGGAGGCAAGAGTCGCCAACGTATCACTGTAGCAAAGTGGATGTTTGATGATCAATCAAACCAAGACAGCGGCATGAGTGGACCACAAGGAAATTAGAAAATCGAGGCGTTTCAGGTGGGGTTTGAACACTTCAGAGACTGCTGTGAGGGCGATTGACGGTCACGAATCGGGATTCACCTTCATGCGTAAAGGTGAATTGGCTTTCTTATAATTTAGACCAAAACGCTTCCCCGGAATGCTCAATAGTACACTTCTCTCATAGCCTCGCCGAGTAAGGTTGTCGAGTTCGCTTAAGAGACCCTCGACCGTCGAATTGGAGCGAAGCGATCAAATCAGACGAGTATGATTTCTAAGATGTGTGATTATTCACTACAATTCTTGCAAAGTCTTATATCAATAGATTCAGCGGTACATACGTCAGGATTTTTCAGCTTCTCCAGGACAGGGTACGACATTGGGTATCCTCTCAGAGCCTTGGGTACGTACATGCCCTGGTAAGATGGGAGGCAATTGGGTCGTGTGTCCCAGGACAATGCCCCCTTGGCTAGGTTTAGAGCCCCATCATGATGGTTGGTATCTATTATCTCCACTCACGGCAGCTTATGGTGGAGCAAGAATGTGATGAATTGTTCGGACGTTCAGCTGGTGACTTGATGCTCTATGACTGGCGGTGATGGTCAGTAACGGCAACTGCCCAGACGAGCCAAGCTGTGTCGACATATTCTCGTCAAATCTCCGACGGATGGTGTGAGATCTCACACAATGCTTCGTGATATTCAGCCGTACTGCTAGAATGAGAGTGACAAGGATCCTGGTCTCCCACTATCACACCGGGAGATGGCCTTATCACCTGCAGCGCAACGGCTGTGGGCGAGGTGGTCGTGTTCAAGAAATCCGCATCACTTAACGACGACTGTCCTTGCCTCCGGCCCGGTGGAAAACCTAGAGCATCGGCATGCATTGCTGTGCGAAGATGATACAGCAGCACGAATTCCAGACTCAACTTGATACTGTATATCACAGCTTGTAGACTGACTTGTATGAAATGCAGCCGGTACTCCGTCAAGAGGAGGAGAATATTGAGGAGAAACACGAATCCGCCGATGCCAAGTAGATGCGCGGTGGCTTGAGGTTGCTCCCGGCCGCGAAGTCTGGCGACGCAGATCAGATTGCGCATCGCCTCATGTATGTAGACACAACTAATCACGCCCTCCTGCACACAAAAGCCGACCAATTGGATGCGATTGAAGATAGCAGCTGGTCGAGGAAAGCGGAGATCGCCGTTGATACGCCCAAAAAACAGAACTGTCATAGGGACGTGTAGGATGCAAGCATTCACGACGATCATCCGGAGCACCCATCGCACCTTGCTGATATCAAGAACAACAAGGCGCAGACGAGAGTAGCTTACAACGGCCTGACCAGTCACCATTGCGTACCACCCGACGATGAACAACACGGACGTCGGCAGTGTGGATTGTTGAAATGTGCAGCAAGTGATGGCAGAAACAGCGTGCACAAGAATGCCCCAGCATGAGGCCTGCATGCTCCAGAAGTAGAGAGTGCGATAGTTTTTGACAATGTCAAATGCGAGGAAGATCGTTTCCATCGCATTATATATGGCAGTAGCGAGCATAGATATGACGATCATGTTTGAGAGGTTTTCTTGGAGAACGACTCCTACCTCCGGGGACAGATTGGCCATGAAAGTATCCATGGTCACACAGGTATTTCTTCGTGGCGTTGTCTGCGGAATCCGAAGATCCAGAGAGCTGTTGGATAATGTGAAGGCACCGGAATCTTTCAGTCAAATATATAGCCAGAGCCATGATGCATTTGTGCGGGGCCGTTACTACAGAGGAAATTTAGAAGAGCCAGCCTAGTCTCGAGACCTGGCTGGCAGCACCAGGACATAAATTGAAAGCCCCAGGAGCAAGCTCGCTCCCAGGATTATTGGTATTTATTCTGATTTTGGCTTAGTCCCGAAGTCTCATGACGAATCTTTTCTTGACCTGCTTGGGTTGGTAGCCTGTACGTTCAGACTTCTACCCCAACGATACCGCCTTCGGAAGTTGGCCTCGAGGTCTTGGATGAGCATTGTGGAAGCCTGACGAATCCAATACCGGTCAAAAAGTTCTACCAACGATCAAGCCGTGACTAGATGTTGCCAAAGCTTGTAAGATCTCCTTAGATACGATTATCAAATTCTTTTGACTGAAAATGTCATCTTCTCTCGCCCGTCATCGATGTACAAGTGTAACCCGCTTGGTGAAGCTTTGCGAATCATATATACTGTTCCAACACAGAGTTGACGCAGACTACCAAATAAGTGTTTCTTCGCAATTCCACCTAGGGTTTTTAGATGATCATGGAACAAATAAACCATTTCGCAGTGTGAATGTATTCATGTCGTAAATACTGTCTGCCGTGCGCGATAGCAACTTGATGTGAGAATTGTATCGTACATCATTGTAACACATACTATGTTCATGCACCGCGCCTGAGAGGTCCATTTTCCCACTGGCACACCATACGATGTACATACTCCCAGATCCATGATGATGACTGTCTCGCCACGTGCAAATTCAGCTTTATCGTGCCGGTGGGTCAGTGTATTCCGGCCCACCGACTAAAATTGCCCACTCAAAACTCAAAAGCAAGATTTGGAATCCTGCGCGGCCACCCTGGCAAATGATTGTCCAGAATTTCAATAGAGAATCCTTGACGTTACATTCGGTGTTCCAGGTATGTAATTAAAAATCAAATGAGGCGTGGCAACCCTTTGATTTGACTTTGCTAAAATTGGCTCAGTGGTAGACCATCTAGCATGCCAGTTGCCAAGGCTTACCGTGATTGGATCAAGCATCTGAGCAGCGATAGGCCAGAGCGTTAGGATAACGGCGATCATGATCTACCGGGCGGACGGGCCCAGGCGACGGGCCCCTCTTGGCGTTGAACAGAACTGATTCAAAGACTCATCTAATTTCTTTACTTTTTGAAAGATCCCCATCCAAAGTTCCTTATTCAAAGTGGTATATATTCGTCTACATGGCAAGGATGATTGTACTTAAGCTGTAGGATGAAGCAGGTGATACGACCGGGAGATAGTTGTGTGCGTCATAATTTCTGACATCAAAACGCAACCCCACTTGTCAGGATTGGACCCACAAGGACCCCAAATTGCTTCACACAAAGGAATCAAACACATTTTTTGCCCCAGGCTCTTGCTGATTGCTCGAACAGGGATTGCCCGATTCGGCGAACCCGGGAATTGATTCGTGTCCCAAAGATCCTAGCGGGCCGTACTGCTCCGTCCAATTTCCGTGGATCACCCCAGAGCTGGGTAGATAGGACGCTAGTCTGCGGTTTTGGAGAGCGTCGATCGCGTTCCAGTACCGCGTGGTCGCGGACACTAGCTCGCCATGTGTTTGATGCAAAATCGGCTGAACGTCATTCCACGGGATGTTATCCTGTGTCGAAGCATTCAACAGTTCTACCTGCTCTTGGAGTTGACGGTTTTCGTTCCGAAGTCTTTTGTTCTCAGTCAAAGCGTTTTCTTTCAGCACAATAGCCTGCTGCAACTTCACGCGCTCTTCGGCCTTAGTGGCTTGTATTTTCTGCAACAGTTGAGACTCGTAGGCCTTTTGGTCGTTTTTCTCCGCAAGAGCCGATTGAAGCTCCCGACCAAGTTTGTCCATCTCATCAAAGCACTTCGCATGGATGGCTTTAGACTTCTTCTTCCGGTCGCTCTTTGACACGAGATGCCCCTAAACAGTATGATCAGCCGAAAGCGTGTGGTATCAGTAGTACTCAGCATCGTGATGGGTGATTCAAGAATTGAGGAATCGAAAAAGACGACATACCGGGACTTTTGATGGCTTCGTGGTTGCATGCAGAGACGAGCAGTCTGCACGAGACTCAGAGACCCCCGACGAAGCAGGGCTGGGAGAATTGATGCGGGACCTCGCACGCGTCATTCTTGGTCCGCTTCTGATGTCCAACTTCTTTGGGGTGGAGCTTGATTGTGTTGCCATGTTATCAGAGATCTTGACAGGGGTGTTGTGGTAGAACAGTGAAAGTAGAATGATTTTCTGTAACGAAGATTGGGAAGTCGTAACTTTTAATGCAAGAGAAGGTTGTTGAGAGATGATCTGCAACGAAGCACAAAAGTCTGTTACCCTGCCAAGCAACCCTAGTAGTACCAGTCTTCTGAGCCCAAAGTCACAATTGTGTATTCACGCCGAGAAATAGGAGTCTGTTAGTGTGACAGAAAATACCGTCAATATTCTTGATCCAGCATATATGTAGACCTGATGCATTTGTTGCTGCATGACAGAGAACCGCACAAAAATAATAAATGCCGCGTATACAAGGTCTCCAAAGGTTCCCCTAAGAGAGGCTGTGTATAAACGAAAACCAATGACTTGCTGCTGTGTAAACCGCTAGAAGCCAACTCCAATCACTTCTTTTGACTTTTTTCATAGCTTAGCTATTTCGAGGGGAAAAAAGCACGTGGGAAAGATCTAATTCCATATTCTCGCCATAATTGATTGCCTTGGTACAGTGCATGGCTCAAGTCCTAAGTGGACTTTGACTCGCTTTGAGAGCGCAAAGCACAAGGCTACCAATGTTGCTCCCAAATGCCTTGAAGGTGATTCACGATCCACCATTTGGGGGACTTCCACATTACTGTACCTGGCTGACCATTCTGTCGACCCACTCGATGGAAAGATCTAGAAGCTATCTTCTTTGAATCGAATCTTGGTCTCATGCCTTGCTGGTCCATTCAATGGTTCAAAGTAAGGTTCAACTTTATCATGGTCTAGAACCACACAAAGTAAGGCGATGTGGACCAGGCAGAAAGACTTCTGGAGCCATCGACCAGGCTTCGCATTTGGGAGCATATGTTGTGTGTCTCTAGAAAGAAGCTCTTCTTTCACAGTGTGGAAGTCAGCCTGCAGGTCAGTGCATACCTATTTCAGATGAGTCATAGGCTAATTCGAGATAGGCTGCGAACGCGATCCGAGTATGCTCAGGCAAGAAGCCGACCCCCCTCCCAAAGACTTTCTGGCAACTCCTCCGCTCCGCGACACCCATCCGAACGATTGAGGAGGAGCAACAGCAACGATTCAAAGACGCGGCGATCTGCGCCTTGCCCGACACGACCTTTGCAAAGACAATCGACCGGGCGTTCAGGGCCTGCTTGGCACTCTTGAACGCCCCCCGCGGAATGCAAGTCCTCTATGTCGAAGACCTGGCCGGAAGACGTGATGTCTTTTACCACGCTGCAGACCAGACCCTGAGAATTCCCCATCGCTGGTGGAAATTGGACAGTGTGGACCCCGGGGCCCCATGCCACAATGCGGTCCCAATGGCCAACGATGGGCAGAATGCACCTATCTCATGGCAAGAAGTGGTGGAGGAATTGCTGATCCTCTCAATTTCTTCGGTCTGGACAGCATTTCCAATGTCACGCATTATAGAAAACCGGTACATGCGCCACATTAGACGCCTGCTGCAGGGGGTTCCACAGAACATTCAAATCAGCCCTCATGCCACCGGTCTGCTGGTCACCTGGGAAGATCCTCCAGCAGATGCAATGCAGTCCCATGAAGGTGAGCCAGGATACAAAGTCGTCCTTCATGCAGGGGACTGTGGCGCTGACGCGGAGCTCCTTCATTCCGAAACGGGCAGGTCTACCCCACCAATCATGTGTGGTCAGACTGAGCCACCGGCTGCGATCAGCTCCGCAGCATGTGGATGCCGCCAGCAGCTGGTCTCTCGTTCGACTCAGTGGTGCGTGTTCGCAGAAGTCGACCAATATACAGCATACTATGCGATGCTCTGCGTGAATGAACCGTCGGCGATCTATAGCCTGCCATCGGAGACATTGATCCCTGGCACCACCATCCACGACAGCAGTCTGGCTTCATGCGATCTAACCATGCTTGCGCCCGTTATCGTCAAACACGAAGAACCCGCGGCCCCGGCTCACCAGAGTGACACATTGTATCTAGAGTCGTGCAAAAGGCTGAAAGTCTCGCACCTTTTGAACTAATTGAGTAGGGAGACTGACACCACAATGGAAATTCGATTGTTACGTACGTTCTAATCTAGCTTTGGTACAATTTAGACTACTCAAACTTCAACATCAATGACGCAAAGGAATGACCGACATTTGACTCTATCATATTAGTTCTTCCAACCATTTCGAAATCCAGCCTAGTCGTGCCGACCGACGACGCGTGAGAGGGGCGTGAGAGCTCTCTGTCACAACAGACCTTCTCTGTAGTCGAGCCGACCGGCGAGGACGATGTGTTGCGCCCGGCGATGTCCTACGACGCCGCCTCGTCTCGCGTGAAGAAGGTGATGCTCTCGTCCGAATAAGATCGATATGTGGCTGCGCGGTGTCCATATCAACGGCTGAGTCGTGACGAACCGTCGCGACGGTTCCTCCGGAGCGTTCTGCGGTTCGCAGCGAGGGGCCCCGCGGCGGGCGGTAGAGAGCGTCCAAGGTGGTCTCGGTTGGGCTACGCGTGTCAGCAAACCAATTCTGAATTTTCAATGAACACCGAACTCACCAGATGCAACACGAAAAGCCACGTCCTGTACGGCGCTTTCTCAGCCACTCCTCCGTACAAGCCAGGTGCGATAAGCTTCGGCACTCGACGCACCGCAAGATCACGCGTTCATCGACTTGATCGCCCTCCTCGTCCAAACAAAACAGGCAGTGAATGTTGTCGACTGGATCATTGGAGGTGACGCTCTGAATCGTCAAGTCTTGCACCCCTGCCCATATATTTGTGAAGAATGGAAGGATCGCTGGCTGGGCTGGCGACACGCGCCATGGAACATTGTTTACTCGCAGCATCGCAGTCGTGATATAAGGAGCAACCCATGAAGGGCCGTGAGTGAGTATCTCATGGTCACTGAGGGCGTTAGTAGGTAGAGACTCCGGATTCCCGAGTCGATCTCGGTGCCATCGTGTGCAGAGTGAAGACTGCAGTCCGGCCAGATCGAATGTGTTCGTTGGAAAGTCGGTCATTCCGACGGCCTTTGACGGTATTTTTGGTATTGACTGGATGCTTGAGGCTGTTTCCTGTCGTGTGGGCTCGCAACAGGTGCTTCGTTGACCAAGTGATCCAATGCGAATTCACAGACCACTAACGGCTATCAGCTGTGTGCGGACGACCAAATGTGGATTGAGAAGTCAACTATTTGAGTGACTGGACTTGGGAGCGTGCTTTATTAAATATATTTGTATAGCGATCCAAGATACTGGTGCTCTCAGCAGTGGAAAAACGATGGCGCCGCAGAGCATTCCTGATGCGTTTTCTTTGCATACTTCTGGCAGGGTCGTCGCTGATCGCTGGCTTCTAGACGATGCCCTTCAATGCAGAGGATGGTAGAGCTGAGAATGTGCAACACGATTCAGCCAGGGAACTGAGGCCCACGTTGCACCTGATTTTACCTCTTCACAATCACTATGGCATGCTAGGTCTCGTGCGCGATTGAGAAAAGTCTGTTGTCCAGGAGCTGTTTACGTGTTCCTGGAGACAATTTGAGCGCTCCCGGGACGCAGCTTGATCCTAGGAACACTAAGAACGACTCCAGGACCCCTAACCAGGGTTCTAGGACCTACACGACCGCATCCCATCGTGCTTATGCTTCATTGTCCCAGCCGACCATTGGCGGCGTTGGTCACCCTTGCTTCAGAGCTGAGGGATGTGGATGCTCAGGGAGCATTATATAAAATTGCTTTTCTACCCCAATCATCCTCTACATCAGCTCTTGTTCATCAATTTGTGTGCAATTCTTCTTAGCATCTCTCACATCATGGTTCGTTCATGAATTCTCCAATGACTTGCTAAATTTGATACTTATCTACAATTACAGCCGCATTTACGAGGTTTCCCAAATGGGATACTGCGGATGATCGCATCACATTTGGATGGAAAAGCAATCTTCACACTGGGAAAATCATGCAAGAACTTATACAATAGATTGCAACCCGCCTTTCTCGAGTATAAAATGCAATACAGAAACAGCAAAATGTTGCATCTGGCAGCCAAAACCAACAATGTATCTCTGGCAAAGGCTATGCTGAAACGCGACGTCGACGTCAATACGTTCTTCTGTGGCAAAACCCCAATCATGAGAGCATTGAAGCACGGTGCCACCGATGTATTTCGCGTCTTGTTGGAATCGCCCGGGGTAGACATCAACCTCCATGGCACAACTTTGGAAAGCGCTCTGTGGTATGCCATCAAGTACAACACCTGCAGAGCGGTCATACAAATGGCACATGCCCATCGAAATTTGAAACTGAATTTGAGACACCAAGAAGGTCAAACCGCGCTTCACAAAGCAGTCTGGGCCGGGAGAATTGGCCTCGTGCAAATCTTGCTCTTTCTAAGCAGTGATCTTGAATCTAAAGATAATCACGGTCACTCGCCTTGGGACTGGGCATGCCGCAGTAACCGGCCCTCCATGATGAGAACGCTCCAGAGGGGACCTGACTCCCGCTTTCCGATCGACTTCGATCTCGCCTATCACGATGAGCTGCCTCTTCATCAATCAGTGTCTCACGGGTCCATGGATGTTATTCGGCTGCTGCTGAAACAGAAGCGCACCGATCTCGAAGCGCACGACCGCAACGGTGACACACCACTGCATCTAGCTGTTCGGAATCAGAGCCGACAAGTCATGGATTTGCTGTTGAGCCATCCACAGATCGACGTGAATTGTAAAGATCTGGCAGGGAACACGCCGCTCTGGTTGTCTACATACCTGTCATGCGACGCTGTCACTGAGAGAGTTCTGGAGGAGCCAAGGGTGAATCTCAATTTCGTGAGGGGACACGGCGATACCCAGACACCCTCGACTTCCCTTCATCATGCTGTGCTAAGGCCGGACACAGGGGCACTACAGTGTCTTGTGGCCGTGCCGGGCATTGACGTCGGTCGCTGCGCGGCGGGCCAGTCGCCGTTTGCTCTCGCGTGTGCTCATGGACGTGTCGATGCGATGAGGGTGTTGCTGCGCATAGACCGCGTAGATATCATTGCTAGTGGTCTGGGGCATCCGCCAGTCTGTCAGGCGGTAGAAAGTGACCAGGTGGAAGCCGTGTGTCTCTTAGTTCAGCAGGGCGACCGTCTGCAGATCAATCGACGAACGATGACGGGTCATGACACAGCGCTCTGCATCGCCGTGCGGAATGGCAGCTTGGATCTGGTCCGGGCTCTGCTACGTCATGATCGGATTGATCTCAATCAGGAAAGTTGGTCGGGTCAGGGGCCTTTGGCTCTCGCGGCGCAACGAGCGCACCTCAATGTAGTCGAGGCACTTTTGCTGGATGGGCGATTGTCACGGCAAAGCATGATCGCAGCCCTTCACTCTGCAAACAACGACTCTATTCGACAATCGATCCTGACCAAGATTGGTGGCACGGATGCTCGAAAGCTGCCGCGGTCACCTCGGTGCATATTCGATGCAGTTCAGGCAGGTGTGCAGTAGAGCTGAAACAGGTTGAAAGAGCGCGTGCGCCAACCTCTGGAAAAATTCAAAATCAACATGTTGATATGTATAGAGGAATGACAATGTTCACTTGGACTGTTCCTGTGATTGCACCCAATAAGACAGACTTCGAATTTGCTCATCTCACCAGGCTATGCCTAAGATATAAAATCAACAGATAATCCTTCAACTGTTCTCAAATCAACTCAATGCTATTGAAATTTCTCACACCCTTACTGGTCGCCTAGCAAGCCCATTCCTTAGACCTGGACCTCGCTCATTGTATAAATACTCCCGCAGTAGCTCACTACTTGTGTACCTCAATACTTTTCATCCACCCCAAAACCCAATGGATCGCTTACCTTCTCTTTCTCCATATCGACCCGCCAAAAGACAGCGCCGACTGTCCGAACTACCAATGGATGACGTTCAAGTCAAAGTTTGCGAACGAGAGGCAGGTCACGCATTGATTGCTCTCAAGGTTATTTCTTCCCAGCAGCTGGTGAACATCACTAAACATACACTCACAGGATCCCATTCACTCGGCTGGTCCACTGACAACGCAGCTGATGCAAGTCCTCCACAGCCAGCCGGATCTTGCCATGCCCATCATCGGAATTCTCGATTTTTACTTTTGTCTTTGAAACAGTTATGTCGTAAAATCGGCCGACAAGATTCACTTGGATGAAGAACAGCAGGAACTCCAAGAATCCAACGAGTGGTTAGAGGTTGAGAACGATCTCCTCGTGCAGCGCTGCAATGAGCAAGCCTTGTTGATTTGGAGTCGTGAGCGGGTGCTTCATGAACTTTACGCCGGCATCGCGGCAGTCCTGAAGGCGAGTGGTGAAACGGCTTTTCCGACCGATATGCCTTTGGCAAGACCGACTACTTGACATGAAATGCCTGGACAAGGAGTTTGTGACCTGCAGTCAATGCTAGATGATTCACAGTTTGGAATGTTTTGTCAATGCCACCGGTGGTGAGATGTGTTTATGTACTGTTGAACTTGAGGAAAAGCAATTCTGACCAATGATGTGGTAACTTGTTGCTAGCCTTTTGAAAACTAGAATTTTCCATCGCCCTTGCTGCCATGGTCCAATTATATATATTTTGACATCCTCCTCCGATTTTGTTCGTTCAAAACATCCCATATCGCAAGTCAGCAACTGATCTCCTGTACCTGGCATTTATGGCGCAAGACCCATACAACATGGCCACCTCTCTAATACATGATGGTAAGAGCTCTACAAGAACTTCTGACAAAGACATGCTGAAAATATCACAGAATCCGACTTCGACCTCGATCTTCACGCAATCTGGCGAGAGTCTTCTGGTATACCGACACCACCTCCCTGTCTTGCCACTGACCATGGGTCCCATGACTTCGACCATCTCCGCCAGTTTGTCAGAAATGACGCTCCACCGCCTCTGTTGGTCGAATGCTGCTTTCACCTTGGACTCGACCATGCGCCTGGCTTCAACTGGACTGGCCCCGACCCTCTTGCACTCTCAACCCAGCCTGAGGAGGTTTTCCTCCACCTGTCA